GGCACAAACGCCACTACCGGCTCCTCCTCCTCCAACGCTTCCTCCAACGCCTCTTCCTCAGCAGCCGCCAGGATCTCTTGATTATAAGTATCAGAACACTGGCGGTACGTTCTTTCCCAAGAGGCAAAGTCGGCATTGGGAAGAGGCGGCCCCAAGTCATGCGCTGGATTTGAGCGGAGTCTTCCATCATCTCCCGGACCAGCTCTTTCTTCTCTTGCTCGGCCTTTTCCGAGAGTTCTTGGGTAAGACTCTTCTCTTGGGTCACCAGGCGTTCTTTTACGCTGGCCAAGGATTTCTCCAAGGCTTCGTATGAGTACATCTTTAGGCGAAGAGGTTTCAGCTCGGCCTTGAGATTGGTGATGGTCGCCTCCAGCTCGTCATTCCTCTTCTGGGCCGCCTCTAACTGAGCCCGAACAGCGGCGGTAGCCTGCGCCTGATAATAAAGAATATCAATGGTCAGAACTTCATTTTGGGCAATTTGAAACATTACCTTATCACAGTCAGAGGCGGCCATAGCTTTTGCAGCCTTTACCTCTTTGTTCTTCCGGTCAAGCGGCTTGCGAAGGCCGTTCACTCGGAGCAGGGCCTAAGTACAAAGGAACAGGCGTCAGTTTCCAAACAAAAAGAAAACAGGCGTCCAGTAATTCAAATACTCAAAAATATGCTAAGTATACCTCAGCAAGGACCCCTGCAATCCCGTCTAGGTCAAGGGTGCCGACACCCCTGAACGCCTCCCTTTCAGCTGGAGGAACTGCCCTGATCATAGACTTGGCCATCTCTACCAAGTCAGGCTCCTGAGGGCCGGCTGCATCAAGCATAAACAAACGGATTAGACCTAGTAAAAAAGGGAGCAAGTCTAAAATTTACAAGGACAACTTCATACTTCTAGGCGGCCCACTTGGAGTTTTAGAAGAAGTGGCCGGCTGTTTCTCAGCCGCCACATGTTTCTTGGCAGAACTAGGAGAGCTCCCAACAGTCGTCTTCCGGGCCTTGGGGTCCGGCTGTTGGGAAGATGAAGCTCTTGGAGCACCCATCTAAAAAAGAAGAAAAAAAGTCAGTATATGCATAAACACAACTCCAAAAAGAGAGTGAAAGGTTCGGAGCTCACCAAGGGTGCCCCCTTCTTGGGGGAGTCGGTTGAAGCTTGTTGCATGATGGAGGCCCGCAACATGGCCGCCGCAGTCTTGGAGGCGGTGATTTTGCTCATGGCGTCAGCTGCAAAAACAAACAGCAAAGTTAATAAAAGTCATAACAAGAAATGTATGGAACAACAAAGTATTCGACAGGCCGACTACCTCTTGAGCACCGACTGCTGAGGCCACAGGCGGCCAAAAAGTACTCGTCGTAGAGCAATTTGAAGCTCGGGACGTAGTGCAGGGGTACTTGCTCTCGTACCCCTGAAGTAGAGTCGACCCTCGACTCTACTTTAAAGAGTCCTTTATCAAGGATCTCTTTCTTAGCCTTGGGGGGAACAGGCGGCATGCTACGGCCGCCTCCAAGAAGGGGCGGATTCCTGTTCCACCTATTGAAGCGCTTGTTCAGCTCAATGTCTGAACTCTCAATGATGAGGAAGGTGCTCCGCCAGTCCTTCCACTTGTTTGCTTTACCTCTCGTCATGAGGTAGCCCCTGTGGCTTGTCAATTTTACCAGCCGGTACCGCCTGTCTTAGGGGTCCGGCTGAGATAGTTCATATGGGCGAAAGCCTCGAAGCTCGGCTCCACCCCGTGCAGTTCGCACCCAGCCACATAGCCGAGTACGTTGACCCAGGAGTTTAGGGCTAACTGCCATAACCCCAACTCATACCCATCCAAAATCCGCTGAACAGCCAGATGTAATGGGAAGCGCAGCCCTGCCTTGATGGCCGCCTCGTAGCAGCCAAAGCAGGCGCTATCATAACTGGAACCAGCCGGCCAGACGACTGTGTCTTCTGGATCCGGCACAAACACTAGAAAGTCGGGGCCCATGGTGTGGTTTGCAATAAAGCTCTCCACTTTCTCTTGCATGGCTGTGATCCGGCCCCGAGGTACCGTGCAGTAATAGGGGGTATTTAGCTCTCGGTGAGAGGCGGATGGCTCCGCCCAATTGTCCCCCTTCTCAACTGCGTGAGAAAGTCTCGCCTCTTGCAGGCGGCTGTTTTTCTCTTCTGTGTCCAAAGAAGCATGGCCAGAAGAGCTTGACTCGGAATCGTCCTTTGACGAGTCCGAAGAGGACGACTCCTCCCCTCTCCCGGAGGGGCCCACCTCCTCTCTTTGAAAAGGAGCAGAATTGTTAACTGTTAAATGGGAAGGGGTCACTATGACTCCTCCCTCAGAATTGCCGGCTTTCAGGCCGCCTTGTTTCACTTCCACATCTGGCGCCTGGTCAGATGTTTCACTAAGCGGCACCCTGTGGGAGGAGCCGTCTGAATTTGAGATCCTAGCAGTCTTTTTCGTTCTGGCCATCCTGCTCTGCATAGACACAGATACAGTCGGACTTTGTATAAAGGGCAAAGATGGGTCCGGAAAATGGCAGGCGGCACTCCTAGTCCTAGATTCAGCCGTCCCCGGTGACCGGCTGATCACTAACCTAGGTCGTGTCGTGTGCTTCCGTGGTGCCATTTCAAAAAATAAAAAGAAAATTAAGAGTAAGAGAACTGACAGTTACCTGAACGAGTGACGATTGTTGAAGTTCTGAAAATCCTGTGCAGTCGGCTTGTCAGAACAGGCGGTAGGCAGAAAAGGTCCGAAATGTCAGAGCAAGTTCAGGGGTCCGAATGTTCTCAAAAAGTTCTCAAAGTGTGAAAATGACTCAAGACAATCCTCCCTTATATAGGCGAAGTGAGAAGGCGAAGGGTCACTTTCAGAATTCAAAATTTGGGCGGGAAAATCTCTCGTCCTTTCGCCGACTGACACTTGTAGAAGGTCGCCGCCTGTTACAGTGCGACACCTGTCACAGGTAACACGTGACCAATCACGTGCCACCTGTGAGGGGCAAATGATTAGGGGATTTTGCTCCCACCAATCGGAATGCGCCACGTGGGCCAATCAGGTCCTGCCAAGTGTCCCCCAATTGGAACTGTCAGGGCTTGCCACGTGGCACGCGCTTATTCGTCCACATTGGACCTATTATGTCATGACATGTGGCATACTCCATGCCTAATGGAGAAACCGGCCACTCAGGCCCAACTTCTGAGGGAAGCCCAATCGGCCCTAGGTTAACCTAAACCTAGGATGGGCACGTTTCCCAAGGTTATAAATACCTCCCTTAATCCTCATTAAGGGGAAGAACGGAAAAAACACATTAATTACACACAGTAATAACCGGCTGATCTCGCTAACAAAGCAGATTACCTACATTAAACACTCTCACCTAGAGAGACCCAATCACTTTAATTTTCGCATTAATTACTCCTTAATCAAGTACTAACTTGACCGTTGGAGGCGGAGCTCCCACCACCAGGAGTCTCCGTTATTTTGCAGGTACAGGCGTCCGGTTCCAGTCTCGGAATTGTAACTCTCCCGCAGGACATCAGAAAACCCCGAAACAATACGGATTCCACTACCATTTCACAAACATATGTGCATATTGTAGTGAATGTAAAATTGCTACGAAAAGACAATTTTCTTGTAGTGAAAGTGATAACTCGATCTGCAATTAACCGAACCATCAATTGGAATAATACATTTGGCGGAAAGATAGTACTCCTTAGTGGGGCCTAAAGTATTCAAACTAATTACTACTCCCTCCATTTCTAAATAATTAATATGTTTGACTTTTTTTTTCACTATTTATATACCAATATGGACCTTTAATTTTTTTTGGTAACGTATAAAAAATAAATTTTATGATGGAATATATTTTTAATTTGGAATTTATATAAAGTATAATATATCAACTGTACTTTTTTTATTTTTTTATTTTTTTTTAACTAACATTTGATTAAATATATATAAAGTCAAACTAATGTATTGTCATGTGTGTCTAGTTTAACTATAAGATTTAACTAATGCTAGTTTAAATATGTCAATTATTAAGGAACGAAGGACATACAAAGCATTTATATGAATATCAGATGTTATTATATACACTTAAGGAGTTACAAACAAGGGTATATTTTGCTAATTCATTATGAATCATGATTGTTGTTAATCTAATTATGAAATGGTATTTAAAAAATAAATTAAAAAAAAAAAGTCAATGCGCCCGAATTTATATAAAAAAAATTTCACAAAACAACTAACATGGCCTATATCATCATTTTCTTTTATTTTAGCCTCAAAGCGATAGAAATTACTGTGCTAGTACATATACCCCCCTCGTGTTACTGGATTGATTTGTAGACAAAACATAAAAAAAAAAATTCTGAAACTTAAGCTTTTTTTTTTAAATCTTTTTTTCTTTTTTTAAATTTTTTTAATTGTATGTCGTGACAAATCTCATAAAGTCTGTAGCATCACAATTCACAAAGGATCTTTTGCTTCATGTAGTTTTATTTTCCAACTAGGTTTAAATATATATACCCTCATAATATTATTTATTAGACACAATTTCCAAGAATGTACGCAATACGAGAAAATATTTACAAATAGCGTGAGAATTATTATAGGTTGAAAATATTTGTTTACCTATATGTCTCTATTAATATGATGTTAATTATCTCTAAACTTTTTATTGTATGATTTAATGCTTTAATTTGTATGAATGGTGTTTTGACAATTATTCCACTAAATTGTTTATTTATTTTTTTGCCTTATTATTATGTTTTTTTTTTTTTTGAACTTTTAAGAATAATGTATAGATAAATTATATTTCAATCCTAAAACTATTTGTTTACATAATTTTCCTTATTATATTGTCAACTAAAGAGTTTTCCGATTATGGCTAGCTCATGTATCGCCTTAGTAATTAATAAGAAAAAATAAATTGCAGGATTTCTGAATAGTGCATTGATGAGGCTCCATATACGACATACTATATTACTTGAATAAAACCATGATACTACAATCGAGGTCAGTAACACCATTTGATCTCAATCAACAATAAATTAAGTATATTGTATAGAATATTAATAAATGAAGTGTGGCATTCACATTTTGTCAATATATATTTTTACTACAGTCGTAATACATTACCAGATCAATTAACACTCTGAATCTCAAAACCAAAATATGGAGCACCAATCTTCTACTCAAATACCTCATGTCCTTATATTTCCAGTACCATTACAAGGCCATGTAGGCCCTTTGCTAGACTTAGCTGAACTTTTATGCCTTGCATATTTCAAGATAACATTTTTACATACAACCCACAACCACCAATGGCTCACCAAGCACACTGATATTGAAGCTCGTTTTTCCCGTTATCCGGGGTTTAAGTACAAGACGGTACCGGATGGGCTACCCGATGCTCATCCACGAACTGATCCGCTCAGGTTGAGTGAATTGTTTAAGGGATTAGCATCTAGTGCTAAACCGCTTTTGAGGGATATTTTGGTAGGAGATAAAGTGACTTGTTTGATATTGGATGAATGGTTGAGTTTTGCTTATGAAATAGCTAGTGAAGTGCAAGTGCCAGTAATGGCGTTTAGTACTTCCGGTGCATGCTTTACTTGGATACTTCATTGTATTCCAAAGCTCGTTGAAGCAGGGGACATTCCTTTCAAAGGTACGTATACATACTATTACTCTGTAGTCTTTTGGACCATTATTATCGATCCAGTCTGAATCTGATTTTAGCTTAATTAATTGATTCGTCTATGAATCTTAGCATGTTTGGTAAGAGTTTTTTTAAGCTGAAAATGGGTTCAACAAAACCATTACCGTCGTTATCAAATGTTTGGTTAGAAGGTTTAGGTAACAATTATCATAACCTATGGATAATGGTTTCCACCTTTTTATTACCACACTAAAATTTAAAGGTAACAATTTCATTTGCCCTCCTCAAACAAAAAAAAAAAAAAAAAAAAAAAAAAAAAGGGGATAAGTTTAAAAATTATTCCTTTTCACTTTATTTCTAATATTTGTACCAAACGCTCCCTTCAATATAAAATGATTGGTATTCGGTCAACTTTAATACACTAATTGTGTATAGAGTAGTCAAAAGCTGACCCGAACTGAAAAATTTACCCGACCCAATTATGATCCAACTTATTTGAAACCGAGAAAATGGTGACTCGAACCTGATATGACCTGACCTAAAACCAACCCTAGACCCGAGTTTAATTGAGTATTTGTGACCCGATTGAACATGACTCGACCTGGAGATGACTCGACTTGAATATAGCCCGTAAATTATTGACCTAAAACGAACCCGATCTGAACTGAGATTGACCCAAACATACTTTAACCAGTCGAAACCCGACCTATTACTAACCTAAGCCGAATTCTACCCGACCTGTAACTAACCTGACCTGAATCGAACTCGACTTGTTATTGACCCGACCCAAATTCTACCCGACATGTACTTGACCCATTTCAAACTCAACCTAACTTGTTATTGACCGAACCCAATTTCAAATCACCTCAAATTCATTTACGACCACCGTATTCATATATTGTTATATAATTACGTACTCACTTCTAAATTATTTCTACTATGAATATGATGTTCGTCGCGCAAATAAGAATGTAAGATAATATTACATGAATTTAATGACCTAACCTGAATAAAACCCACTAATTATTGACTTGAACCGAACCCGATAATGCCCCTAACCCGTTATAACTTGTTGAAACTCGAATTTAACCTGACTTGTCATAAATCCAACCCAAATTCAACTCGACCGGTTATTGACCTACCCTGAATTCGACTTAAACCTGATAGGATGCATGACCCAACATGACCTGATCCACATTGACCCGGCCCAAACCCGACACACAAAGGTAATGATATTAACCTGAGTTGACCTGACCTGCATTGACCCGACTAAAACCCAAACCGTATACCCGAATTGACAGCTCTATTGTGCAATTGCATGTAAGAAGTGACACGTCTCTGAAAATTTAAATTAAATTCTAATATCTTAAAGTGGTTGAAAATTTGTTAGAAATGCATAACACTAGCAAGTTTTAATTTTTCCAATGTTATTTGTTTGAAACTTGTCAATGTTACTTTTTCAAAACACTAGGTAGATTTAAATTTATCATAAATAAGCACGCAAGTAATTACGAAGAAGTACTTCTGAATTATTACCGTAAACCATAAATTAGGAAATCTCGTTTCCCAACAACAAGTGTGCAAATTGACTGATTAAATGTTTTGTAGTTAACACTTCTGATAAGATAATAATGTCAATACGTAGAATCATGCAAGTTATTCATCATCCTCATCTGCATTTGTGGAATTTTAATATATTTGTGATATTGTGAGAATGCTTCTGAATTACAATTAATGAACTATCTACAGATGAAGAAATGGATAAGCTAGTAAAGAATGCACCCGGGATGGATAGCTTCCTTCGCTACCGTGACCTTCCCAGCTTCTGCCGAAAGCTAGACACATCTTCCTGTCGTAAACTCCAACATCGATTCTCCGGTGAGATACAGCTGATCAAGCAAGCTCACTCCTTCATTCTCAACACTTTTGAGGATCTTGAAGGTCCATGTCTTTCACTCATTCGTGAGCATTGCTCAAAGGTTTACTCCATAGGACCTTTACATGCTCACCTAGACTACAAACTCGGTACAAAAGAAAAAACATTGTCTAATACTAATAACTTTTTGGAAGTTGATCAAAGTTGCATATCTTGGTTGGACCATAAGCCCGACAAATCTGTTGTCTATGTAAGTTTTGGTAGCTTAGCTATCCTTACAAAAGACCAGCTAACGGAATTTTGGGTTGGACTGGTCCAGAGTAACAAGTACTTTCTCTGGGTTATAAGGCCCGATCTCGTTATTAAAAGTGACCTAAATAGTCCAATTACCCAAGATTACCTTTTAGACGGTACTAAAAAAAGAGGATGTATAGTAAAATGGGCCCCACAAAAAGAAGTCTTGGCTCATCGAGCCGTTGGTGGGTTCTTTACTCATTGTGGATGGAACTCGATACTAGAAAGCATTGTGACTGGGGTGCCAATGCTTTGTTGGCCTTACTTTACAGATCAGCTAATCAATAGCAGATACGTTAGTTATATTTGGAAGATTGGTCTAGATATGAAGGATACTTGTGATAGAACAAGAGTGAAGAACATGATTAATGATCTCATGGAAAGAAAGCATGACAAGCTAGAAACATCAATGTCTATTATGTCACACTTGACAAACAAAAGCATAAGTGAAGGCGGATCTTCTTACACAAATCTTGACCATCTAATAGAGGAAATAAAAGCGTTTATCAAGAAAGAGCCAACCTTCTAGGGAAGGAAACATATTAGGTTACAATAACTCGTGCATTTTTTATATTTTAATTAATATATTATGTTGTTTCCCTTTTGTTTTCTCTAGTTCTTATAAAAAATTAATTTTAAGCGTGGAAATTTCCATTTTTATAAGGGGTCATAGTTGTATCCATAAGTTGTTTAACTTTTATGTTTTTTTGAAATTTTTGTTACATTAATTCAGAAAATGTTGTAACACTCCTATATATGCGCTAAAAAAATGTTGTAACACTCCTTAAAACTACTTCACTTCAAAAATTCTCATTGCAATTCACTTATTTATCTATGTCACTACAATAGATAATTCTCGAGCCATGTTCAGTTAAGAATGTAATTCATTTATCAATCTAATAATAAATAAATAAATAAACATGTAAATAAATAAATAAATAGTGAAGTTCCTAAACTCCTAGGCAAGTAAAATAAGTGTTTAAAGTAAAGTTTAGGAGGGTAAATGTACGGATGTCAGTGGGACAGGTCATGTAGGAGACTAACCTTATCCTCGCCATAGTGGAGAAGGGATGGGTCTCGGTTTGGCGAGTGGTGGGGCTAGGATGGGAATAAAAACCATACCCGCTATAAGTGATTAGGCGGGGGTGGATTTTAGGTTGTACCCGCCCTATCCTCACCCCACCCCACTCGCCCCACTTCATTTTATACCCGTCCCGCCCCACCCCACCCACCTACTTCGTACCAACCCGTTATCCATATTCATAAATTTTTAAAAAATAAAATTATATGCTTTATACAATTTTTTAAAAAAATTAACTAAAATGATGTAGTAAAAGTATAGTACTTTGTAATAGACTTGTATTATAAATTAAACAAAATAGCTGTAATATTGAAAATGATTTCTTTTAATTATTATAATCAATTTTATGTGGTATTATTGCATTTGGGAGGCAGGTCTTAGGTTGCAAATTAAGTGGGGGTGGATATCCAAGTGGGGGGTGATGAGGCAGGGATGATTTTGAAATTGTACCTATTAGGGTGGAATTTTAAATAGGAAAAAATTGCATGAGTTATACCAATTTTGCGCGACCTTCTTTAAACAAGACAAACTTTGAATTATTTATTATCAATAAAAAGCTTAACATACATTTTCTTTTAAACAATCAAGAAAATTAACAGGTGACATGTTGAGTCAGTCACCATTTATTTTTTTTATTTTTTTTATTTTATAAGATGTTGTATTTATGTATTTAATTTTTTCAATTAATTTAAATATTTTTTAAAGATAATAATAATAATAATAATGATGATGATGATGATGATAACAATAATAATAAAGAGAATTAATAATAATAATAATAATAATAATAATAATAACAATAATAATAATAATAATAATTATTATTATTATTATTATTATTATTATTATTATTATCCCAAAAGATTTATAAAAAATTAGTTGGAAGTCGATATAGTATCCGTGCCCCCACTTTGTCAGCTATGGATAAACAGATCCTAATTTATGATGTGTACAGTAGCTTGTGGGTGCAGTCGCCTAATCGTGTCTCCCCGACACAACCTCATTAATGAATGACCTTTTATAGCTAATTGGTCAAGTTGCGCTAATGAAACTAAGAAATACTTAAAAATCGGCCCTTAGCTTATTAAATATCCTAATCCAATCCCTTTTCGCCTAAACATCAAACTAAAGCATTTCCTTTCCTTTGTGTTAAGCCAAATCCGCCTTAACCTATCTACAAAACCTCGCTCCATCAAGCCCAATAATTACCTAAGCCTTAATAACCCTATTCCATAATAAGCATATGACGCGTTGTACCTCGTCACGCTGTAACGCACCGCTTCAGGCCGCAAGGCATCGCGCCACGGCAGATGCACTGCGTCACAACATTTGCACAATCTCATGGTAATTTGATTTTCTAGTGGTGCAATTATTTCTTGCACGACATCTCATTTCTGCACCCTATCTTGTAAATATGACCCTTATTCCTGGTTTTCAAACAGCAACACACGACATTACATAGCAACATAAATAAATTCGAGCCTTAAGCTACCTTATTATCATCGTACGACCTGTTCTAATCATCGTTTTAAGCCAATTCAAAGTTGTATGCAATATTTGGAGTTTTACACTTCAACTTAGATGTAAAAGGTTGAATTTATGAGAGTATGACAAATCTACACTTTATTTCATTTTGATCGGTTTTTTCATGCAATACCCTGAATTATCACTCAATTAATTCACCATATATACTAAATAAAAATTTTAATTCACCATACTCACATTAATTTCACGAAAATGACACTAACTCCCTTAATAACTAACACAGTTGGTCATTAAGGTTAACTATGCCACGTGGCAACCTCTAACTGGTTCTTATTTATATTAATTAATTAATAAAAAACTTTTAAAAAAACTATTTAAAAAAAATCCCACCACCTCAGCCCAGCCCAGCCCCGCCCCCCTACACTAACCCCTAACCTATCGTGCCCCCCGCACCTTCATCGCCACCAAGACCCCCACTACTGTGATTAGTGCCCCTACCACTTGTCGTAGACCTTCTTGATGGGTTTTAATTTGTCCTAAACACCATGCGAAAACCAAAATCTGCCCCGGATCCATGTATAATTAATACTATTAAAAGCATATAAACACATAATCACATTATCGGTCTTAGAGATTATACCCTTGAAGCGTGCTTCACCTTACCACGAGCACAAACCTTGAAACGACAACCTCGGGAGTGAGAATCTCAAGCGCGATTCCTCTAACGGCTCTCATTCCGTACTCAAACTTGGTCGTGATTTAGTAGCTTGGACTAAATCACAACACGACTTAGAATTTCGTACTCAAGGTTATCTCACTATTGATGGAGAACCCTTAGAGTCCAACTCTATTACAAATCCCTAAAACTAATGGGGTATTTATAGAGGTGCGATTACCATCAAAAATTAAAACCCTAGCAACTTAATTTAATTCTAAATTAAATTAATTAGCACAATCTATAGTCATTTGACACATGTCGCCAAATAAGAGTGGGTACGTGGGAGGACCACTTTGACCTTGAGTAATAAGGCAAGTGGTTGCTCTTCCCCACCTACTGGTCAACTGCCCAGCCGCCCGGCCTTGAGCTGTAAGGCATGTCTTGGCGCCCAAGGCTAGGCCCCAGCTAGTAAGGCTTGCTAGCTAGGCACGCTGAAAGCCCATCGCAAGGCACGCGTTGGCCAGGACTTTTCTTGCGGCAACCCAGTGCAACTAGTATGGCTTAGCTAGCAGCCTTGCGACCAGCTAGCCCTCCACACGCGAGCCTAGCAGCGTGCTGGACCTTGTAGGGCTACTAGGGCTACTGCTTGGCCTATGCCTTGCGGCATGGCCTAGCAGCCCGGTTTGGCGCTCGGCTAAGCTTTGCCCCCATGCACATGATGTAGTAAGGCCTCGTGCCTAGCACGATGTGTCGCTTGACAATTTCTACGTTTAGTCGATTCCTTGACTCGACATAACGTCTGACACTCGGTTTCGATTCTCTAGTCTCGAAATCCGACGTTTATATTTGTAATGTATCTATTGACGTATTAGCGCCTTTTGGCTTAATCTGTCACCTCAGTTTGGTTACAGGATTGAGTGTAACCCGTTGGGTTCAGTCAAGAGCAAGCTGCAAGATTAATTACATTAATCTCACTGATCGTAGCGACCTCCATTTGGGCATTTCAATCACTTGACTTCACTGTAAAATTAGCTCCGTAATTAATTCTAAACCCTCTATCGGAATAATACACTTGTTCGAAGGACACCATTCCTTTTAATCTCCCACTTGTCCTTCTGAACTACGGTGTGTGTATTGCCCTTTCTTATGTTGTTTAATGACTCTTCATGATCTGTAAGGTAAGATTCATCAACATCCTTATTATTTTCAGAAGTGTTTCACGAATTTCAAGGTTCGACTGTGAAGTACAGATGATTATCCAACATCCATCTGAGTACGGTTATGGATCTTCACAATAATGTTGTTCGAGAGGTCTTGCAAAAAAAAAGACATATTTTCCATTGTTAATGGGAAGACATTCCCAATCTTGTATCATCAAGCTTCACTTACTATGAGGCATAGTTGTCTAAGTGTTGCCTTTATAATTCCCTTTTATGGTCGACGTTTGACAACATTAAAACAAATTAGTACTCAAACAAGTGAACTTACAATACTCAGGTTGATGAAAAGGTACCGATAGCCTAAATGAGATAGATACTTATTATGATTTCTAAATCTCTTAAAGTATTCTCATAGGTCGATCCGGTATAGTTCCAAACTCATACCCGTGCAAATGAGTTATGACGTTCATGTCCTTGTAGCACAAGAAATGGTGCTATAAATCATACTACACACTAATCTCTAAGTACGGTAATTAATTATCCATGTTTTAAATGACCTCGATTAGGGATAATTTCAATATCACACTGATCAATGTTCAATTAATAGGTGTTTCCTTATCCAAAACATGGTCTTGTTACCTCATTTGAATATTATTAAATCGAACGGACTTACCATTTAATTTTAAACCACAATTTAATGAACATGGAATAATAATAAGCAAATTTGTTCCATTATGAAACTTTTAAACATTTCATCTTATGATAAATGGTTTTCCCAAATGTTTAAGAGTAATACTCAGTACAAAACATTTACAGAAATCACGCCCATATCTAATATGCTTGATTTCTCTTATGCAATTGTGAATGTTGTGTTTCACTTATTGCATAGGTTTAGCTACCACTACTTTGCAAATATTAACATCTTCATTATCGAATACCTTTTATACTAATTAAGATGATAAATTTTTTAGTGTGTTTTGGATTACATGTGATCTAGGTTTTATTGCTCAAGCGATGGCTCCCACTCATTCTCATGATTTGGGACCTTCGACTTAGGAACTTATGATCATCAAAGTTCAACAACGAACTGTCCAATAAACCACCTCCTTTTACCATTTCTTAGGCAATAATGCTCTCAACATATATTTTAGTAGACATTCTAATGATGATGTGCTTGAATTTTACTCTAATAAGTTCACAATAATTTTGGGAACCCCTTATCATTTGTGGACATGGAAATTGACCATCAATTTTCGCACATTTTACATGGACACAAGTTCATGTCATCATCCTCAAGCCATGATACATCTAAGCTCGTGCTTACATATGGCTTCCTTATTAAGGATCTAATCCTTGATAAGTTTGTAATTGCAACATCAATACTCAAATTTATATGTTTCCATGCATCAAGAACTCATCCTCTTACTTAAAAAAGTACTTTGGATGTTCTTGATCATAATCTAACGATCTATTACTTAGATTCAAGTCGATTTGTATATTATACTTGTCATGCTCCAAGCATGCAAGTCATGTGACGATTTCCGTATCGTAGCACACATGACGGATTTAATTTGTAGAACTATTTCCAATTTGATCCCATTCTTGTAACTTTTATCTCATCAAGTTTCTATTAGTCTCACTAAATAGTTTGTTATATGATAGAAGGGCTTTAAAACAAACTGAATGACCTTACAGCTCATGTAGCATTACTTGATATAATTTCTTGCTTGTAAGTCAATGACTTAGCTTTTCTTCAATAGTTTTGAGTTCTCGAAAGTGAGACACTCAAGCAGTATCTAATACTTGGGAAGATAAGTTGCTAAGTTAATAACATAGCAGACCATTTTGTGTTGATGGCATTAATTTGCTTTAGAACTTTTGATAATTAAAATTGAAATTATTGGAGAAGAGGATAGTAATTTGTGCCTCGAGATTCAAAGGGTACATCAATGTGATGGCATTTATGTGATCAAATTCTCAATTGATGATAATATAATAGGAACTACCTCCGCAAGCAACAAGAGGTCATAATGTAGGGGCTAAAGAGGCCTAGTACAAGGATATGAAGAATGATACAATAAGCATCCTACTCCAATTACCAATCCTCGACACACAAACTGCTGAATGAAGATCCCGATGATCATAACACAAAATGGGGGTGCTAGCTAACAATCATTTCAAAGTTGGTCTTTTGGAATGTCAAGATTCTCGAAAATAGGACTATCTACGCCCACTCCCATTGCATTTAGGCCATTGTCTACATAGACAACAGCACCGGTAATAGCAGATGCCAAAGGTGATGCCAAGAAAGCAGCAGTGTTCCCAACTTCCTCTGCACACATTATTTCTCAAGCTTGTCAAAAAGGGTGTATGAATTAAAGAGAATTTAAAACCCTAAGCAATTCATAATAATTTTTTTTTTTTTTTTTTTTTTTTTTGAAACAACGCAATTCATAATATATCTTACCCGCAGATAGTTCTTTTTGCAATGGAGCATTAGCTATAGAATAGTCGATCATCATATCGATAAATCCAATAGCCTTTGCAGCACGACTCCGAAGTGGACCTTGAGATAAGACATTAGATGATTAGTTAGGCATAAAAGCTGCTAAGCACCCCACAAAATGTTTACAGATATTTAGTTTTAACAAATAAATCTCAGTAGATATCAGATTGCAAAATTCATTTGTTTGGTACTTTGGTTTTTAGCTAGATAAGTTAGAGAGAAGACAGAAGGGAAATGCAGGGAAGCTCAGGAGTTGCAAAGAGAGGATTAACATTTGAGGAAATATAGAATTCATTCCTTGAGGAAAATCTTTTCCGCCCATGGGATAACACATTCAATCTATACAAATAATTTTCGCTACTTCACCAAATCAAGCCGAGGGAAGTAGAAAAACTAGTTTCTTGGAATATGATTTTCCTCCCAGACAAACACAAGTATTAGAACAGGGAAATTTGGTGTTTTGTTGGTCATGAGTGGTACATAGATAGCTGGTAGCTATAGTGAGCACTCTCAAGGAAATTTCAGCAAAGCTTACCAGCTGATATTGTGTTCACTCTAATCCTGCGTTTCCTCCCTGCTTCAAATGCCATTACCTAAGCCAACCAATGGAAATCAGTAATGCCAGGATGAAAAAGGCTAGTAACTACATCAAAAAAATGACCATAGACTGTCCTATCCCCTCTAGAAAACAAGCAGATATACATGCTTACCTTTGTGTCACTCTCTAATGCAGCTTTTGCTGAACTCATGCCTCCACCATAGCTGTGTAAGAAATAAGAAAACAGGTTCTAAGGGATAATGACAATATAATTCAGAAATCCAATTAGAATAATAGCACTGAGAAGGGAACTTTACCCGGGAATTATCCTCTCAGAAGCAATGTATGTGAGTGACAGAGAAGAACCACCTGCAAGCAAAAGATTATACAATAAATTCAAACTACCTCATACAGTAAAAAGAACTTTCTATATCTTCTAAAAAAAAGAATTAAAAAATTCTAAAACGCACTGGTAAGATAAACCGAATTAAAATAATTAAATCAAACACCAGAAAGACAGATACCTGGGTTCATTATAGGAAGGAAATGCTTGAGCAGCGAAACATAAGAGTAACTTGAGGCAGAAATTGCAGCCATATACCCATACCTTGATGTTTCTAAAAGAGGTTTAGTGACCTATAGATAAGTTGTTACTAGATCAGTTAGAAAATAGTGGGCAATACTAATACTTCGTAGCAAACTTAAAAGCTTAATAGCTAATGACCTCAGGTCCATTGGCAAGCGAATGCACGAGGATGTCAATACTACCAAAATCCTGCTTTACTGTTTCGACAACTTCCTACAAGCCATAAAAAGAAAAAAAAAATTAGTACAGTATACTTTCTCGCATTCAAAATAATTGCGATGAATACAACAGTAATGGCAACCATTAAAATATAAAACCAGAAACAGGAGTAATTTGAGACAGTAATGCATATGTTAACAATGCGTTCCAAAATGAACCGAAAGATTAATATACCTTCACAGTCCAATTGCTAGACCCTGCATACCGCTTGTTTGCTTTGATCTGCAGTGAGCCCATCATTAAGAGAATTAGATAATGGCCTCATGGTTATAAACTCAAACTGCTGACATCCCTAGTCCATCTTTTTATCCATCGAGTTAAGATTTCACAAGTATTCCTCATTATTTAAAACTTAATATCTTCACCATATCAGTGTAGTCATTCTATGTTAAAAATATCCTCAAAAATAGAAGAGGTAAGTTCAAATTTTGTAATTTAAGAAGAAAATAATAGAAAGTTAACTTTGACACAGAGTGTAATAAACAACAAATCCACTGTAAATAACGAGAATAATCATTGATCCATTACATCTTCAGGGACATCTTCTGGACTGTCAAAAACTGCATCTAGAGGATATACTTTGGTGATCTCCATCAATGAACCATCAGGCAACCTAAAACACCAAATGAACACTAAGGCCATTGCAAGTGTAAGTCTTACGAAAGGGTCAAGCAGATAGAGACTCTTACACTCGAGATTCATCAAATTTTCCACGTCTTAGACTTGTTTCAAAAATGTTCAGTGCCTGTAAGAACACCACAAAGACATATAGAAAACTAAGTAAGAGATTTATTTAATACGGTAAAGCAACCACAGGTAGAAGACTCTAATGAGTAATCACTCACAGGGACCCAAGTTCCAACAAGAATCTCAGCACCAGCAGCAGCCAGAGATTTTGCAATTGCCCAACCATATCCATTATCATCAGCTACACCAGCAATAAATGCCCTCTTACCTGAAATTAGTCTTAGTTAAATTACTAAATTCAACCATTGTATTTATTGTTAACCCTCTCTTCAAACTAAAGCAAAAACTTGGCTATCAACAAGACAAACTATATCTATATTCATCTGCAGTAGGCCAGTAGCACATAGGCTACATTTACATAATATTTAAAAAGGTGCAAGATGAAACAAGACGATAGCACATAGCAACAAAAGCACATAACACTTGTGATGGCTAATTTTCGGATCCGCTCTACTAGTTTGTACTTGGCATCTTCTACCTCATAATAAAGCCCTCCCAAGCCCATGCATATGTTAAATAGCCCAAATACATGATTAATACTTAACTCAGCCTCATATTAAAGGTATACGTTGCAGAAAATTGATTAGTCACCTTATAACAAATAAACTTTTTAGACCTCAAACATAAACCTATATATGACAAATGAATCACTAGAAATAACGCGGTAACTCTGATGCACTGCCAATTAAAGAAAAGTTTATTCATCTCACTGCCTTGTTTATCTAGATGGCCCATCCATTCCTACACTCCATACATGTGCAATACTTCAGTAGTATCCCTCTTCCATGAGTGATACAGCATGAGATTACCTAAGCAGCAAAAGAATTGGAAAATAAATTTTTCAAAATTCCTCATTGAACCAAACTACTTCGTATATATATTCAACAATAAAACAGCTCGCATATAACCGTCATTTATATGTATTCAACAAAAAACAGGGGCAGGAGAGGTAATAACTATTTCTATTTTTTTGGTTCAAGAAGGATAAGAATTGAGCTTCTTATACTATTGATTCTTGTTAATTCGACCATCTGTATATCACATCACTTCATGAATGTCAATATTGAGCTTTCTAGACTAGTTCTTAATATTGCTATATGTTTGATGACATTATTCCCTTTGACAATGACAAAAAAGCATCAACAAAACACGCAGATTGTTATAATGTCATGTAAAGCATAATGTAATTCGACCTTTTAAGTTAATAGGCAATCCTCCTAGAGGCTTGTCACTAGATTCCGCCATTGCCTTGATGACACCCTTGCCAGATTTCGAGGAGGAAGACGAGAACCTGTGCTGGAAAGGCTGTACAGATGATATATGACAAGCACTTGTGAGCTTAGCCCACGATACTCGTCTCAAATCAGCATTGCAAAATGCAGCACCGGCACCAAAGATAGGGCGAGGGGAAGACACACATGGCTTTACTGCAGCCATTTGCAACCCTGATGCTGTGGAAGCTGCCATTTTCAATCTACTTGCTCTAGTCAATCCAATTAATAATCTGCTAACAATTCAAACGAATGAATTTCTTAGAATAAAGCAGGGTAAATTCAAAATTAACTATGATTAAAATTCAGCAATACCCTTCAATTCAAATTTTGTTGGACAATTTCATTTGAAGCTAAAAGAAACCAGCAATTCTAAACTAATCCCAGAAAAAACCCAAAAAAAATCGAACTTCAAAATGTTAAATATTCAATAATATGGCAGACAAAGCATTATAAAATAACCATTAAAATGGTACTTATCCAATGTAAATATAATCAAGATTCAAACTTTATCCGTTATCTTCATCACTAACCTAAAAAACAAACATGAAAGCAAGATCTCAATAAAAATAATACAGAAATCAAATAATGTGGGTTACCTAGAAGCCAATGTGAAGAATGGAGGATTGAGAGAAAAACAAGAAAAGAGTGATTAAAGAGAATGGGTTTCGATGAAAACGAAGTTCTCTCTAACTAACTGTATGGGAGAGTGTAAATACAGTACAGAATTTGATGGGGTTTATTAATGGGGACACTTTGGTTCTGTCGAAGTAGAAGGGGAAGAGAGAGAAAATTAAGGAGAATGGGTGTAGGTTAGATGAAAAGTTGGTAAATTGTTTGTTATTAGGTCTTTGATTACTCACATACGTAGTAATTCACAAATTCTTTAAAAAGGCCGACTTACATGTAAAACCGGCCCATGTTCACACGTGCCAGTCCAGAGGCTTTAATTTTTTTTTTTTCCTTTTTTTTTTTTCTTTTTCAGTTTTAGCGCGTACAATCTCTTCGACTTCTTGAATTTAATTTTCTGCAATTGCTTTGTCTAATCTTCTGCAATTTCTATCTCCTTTGTTCATATTCTTCTGCTATTCTCTTTCATCTCTCCATTTCTTTGTCATTTTTCTTCACTTGATGAATTGAATTTTAGATTCTCTTCGTTTTTGAGGTTAGTTTTTTTTTGTTTAAATCGCATAATTTTTGTTCATTGTTGTTGTAATCGTTGATTTCTTAGGTTTTTCATTATGCATGTGTATTATTAACTCATAATTCTCTACTTTGTTCAATTTTTAGTAGAATTCTTTTTTTTTTATCTTTTTTTTTTGTAATTTGTTGTATTCGTTACTATATTAATTTGATTTTTGGTTTTTTGTTTTTTATCATAATTTTGTTCATATTTTAGGGTTTACTAGTTCATTGTGTTGATATTACTAGATTATGTTTTAGGTTTTACTAGTTTATTGTGTAGACATTTAGCATTTTCAGTTTTACATACATTTTAATTCAATTTGTTGTTGATGTCATGTATTTGGTTAATTAATCGTTCTTATTTCGAATTTTAGGGATTAGTTTCTTAAATTTGCGATGGTGAAGTTTAGAGGTGGTCTTACGAATTTTCGAAGGAGACCTGGTTTGCGAAGCTCTGTTGGTGGATCTGACGATGCTCAAGGTTTTACCAATTTCTCTATTTATGGTTACAATTTCTTGTTTTTTGTACATTTTTTAAAGTTAAAACATTAGTTGTTATAGTTATATAAATGTTTGCTTAAGTTATGCTTTATGTTTTATTATATGTCAGATTGTTTTATAAAAGATGTTAATCATGGTTATAGTTATACTATTTTTAGTTAAAGTTATGATTTAAAGTTTTATATTATTATGTTATATATTTAACAAATCTTATTTTTTTCAATTTCTATAGGTGCTAACTAGCATAGTGTCCGTGTGATGCACGGTTATAAATCAAACTATAATTCTGTAGAAAAAAAATATCAATTAGTAATAAGTTGTGTAAAAGATATACTGTACAATTATTTTTGAAATAAATAAACAATGATAACACATTCACAAATATATAAACTATGAAAAATATTAATCATATTGGAAATATAATCAATTATTTGGAATCAATAAAAGTCAATAAAATATATTTTAAAATCAATGTAATTATATAATACTAGGTTAGAACTCGTGCGATGCACGATTTATGTAAAATCTATTTTTTAATTTGTACATTTAAACAAAATAGATAAATATAAATAAGAATTATGCACCTTATACAAAAATATTTGTAATTTTATAGTTTTAGATTTTCATCAAAATTATGATATAATACCTGTTCAACGTCGCCTAATACATATTTCAAGGTAGGAGTCCATTTATTAGTGTGCTATTTACAATTGTTTCATTTTTTAAAGATAAATTGATAGGTTGTAGTTGTAATATAGAAGCTTCTAATATTCAAATTTCAAAATTGTTAAATATGGTAGCTCCACAAAAAAAATAAAAAAAATGACATCATCCTTGCATTTAGGCGGAAAAAAAATTTTATTATGTGAGCGAGTGACATGTAGACAGTGATGACGTCAGCAACGTTTTGTTTTAGTAATAGTTAATAGATGATGTAAGCAATGAACTTAATGTTACTAGCGAGAAGGCTGCAGTAAAGGATGTTCAATTAGAGAAGGCTGCAGTAAAGGGTAGAAAAAGAGAGGTACTCAGGATGAGGCTGCAATAAAGAAGGGTGAAGTGAAGGAGGGTAGAGGGAAAGAGCCTTTAGAACAAGAGGATGAGGGTTCAGAACAGGAGAAAAGTGAGGATGTGGGTTCTCAACAAGAGGGAAGTGAAGAAGAGGCTTCAGAACAGGATGGAGGTGATCAGGAAGAGGCTTTAGATGAGGATGGAGGTGATGAGGATGAGGGTTCAGAAGAGGACGGAGGTGATGAGGAGGAGGGTTCAGAACAGGATGGAGGTGATGAGGATGGAAGTGAGGAGGATGCTTCAGAATAGGAGGAAAGTGAGGAGGAGGCTTCTGAACAAGAAGGAAGTGATGATGATGTTTCAGAAGAAGATGCAAGCGAGGATGAATCTATTGATTGCAAAGTAGGTAATAAGAAAAAAAGAAAATTGAGTTCGAAAGCAAAGAAGCCATCAAAGGATGATCGGCGTCCAGCTGAGAAAAAGCCAACTAAAGCATCCAATAATGCTCCGGCTAAGAAGAAACCAAAAAAGGATAAGCGTCGTCCAGCAGAGAAGAAGCGGAAAATGGTGAAAAACAAAATATGTCCTGCTGAGAAGGAGCCAATAAAGGATAATCGTTGTCTGGCTGAGAAGAAGCGAAAAGTGGTAAAGAATGTTGACAAGGTTGTCAAAGTGGAAAAGAGAAATAGATCAGATTCTAATGATGAAGAAGTTGTTACAAGTTTAGCAGAGGGAGATGATTCTGATTCTGATGTTGAAATGTAAGTACCCTTTTCTAAAGTTATTGTTATTACTTCTAAAGTTATGGATGATGCCCTTAAAGTTATGGATAATGTCCTTAAAGTTATGAATATTGTGTTAGTAAGATAGATGTTATAATTAATTTATGTGCTAATATAATAGTAATGGTAATTTTCTGTAAAGTTATGGATAATGATTTTAAAGTTATATTTTAGTACTTTTTTATAGTTATAGTTTGTGTTTGCTAAAGTTGCATTTATTATTTCTAAAGTTGTATTTATCCTCTTTAAAGTTATAGTTGTTCATTTTATTTTTTTTCTTTCTCTTTTTTATTCAGATTGGATAGGTTTTTCATTACCCATTGCAGACCACACGCATTAGTAGATCTCATGAAAGATTTTACAGATGAACAAGTGAAATATGTTGTTGAAATACGCTTTGGTGGTTTATTAAATTTATAGTTGACTAGAACTTTTACAACTTTGCTTCATTGGTTGGTTGATAAGTTTGACCCTATCAGTTGGATGTTTTCTATAGGTCCTGGGAAGGAATTTGTTATTTCTCCTTATGATGATTATGATGTGTTTGAGTTACCTTTGCATGATGGGATGGATGTTGTAGAGAGTACTAGAAGTACTGATCTTGGTCTGAAACAAGAATGGAGGAGTATGTTTGATGTTGCTGGTACTGGTGTCATGCCTTTGCATAAATTAAAGGCCAGGATTGTTCTTTTAAAGGATGGTTGGGAGTTGTTTAAGAGACTATTTGTGATGGTTGCTTTTGCTACCTTTTTACAACCTGTTGCAAATAGAATTGCTGATTTGAGTTTTGTTAAAGCTCTTTAAAATGTTGATGATATTAAGAATTTCAATTGGTGTAAATATGTGCATGAAAGGTTGTGTAGGGCTATTTTGAAGTATAAGAAAAGTAAGAGTCAAGAAAGTGTTGGTGGTTGTATTTTGTTGTTGGAGGTTGTGTATTTTCAGCGTATGAATTTCAAGAACGAAGCACAAAATTGTAGTTTACCCCTTATCAAACACTGGACAAATAAGAAAGCCAGTGATATGGTGAAAAAAGAAGTTGAGGCTAACTCCTTTGGTTGTGATATTTTGGATACTACTACATACCCTATTTCTCATAAATTTGTGTTCGGAGATCAATTGTCTCTTCGAATTGCTCATGAACAACCTAAACAAGTTGAAGTTTTTCAAGTTGACAATGTTGGTGATGCTCCACTAGGAAAAAGGATCATTAAGTTTGATGTTCTTGAAAATATGACATCTGATGAAAAAACTCACTCTGTTGCTACTGATGTAAGTTAAAAGTTGCTCTTATTAATGCTAAAGTTATACTTTTTAAATTTAAAGTTATGCTTATTGTAGCTAAAGTTATCTTTCTATTGATTCACTTATTTTTGTTCAGGCTATTCACGAGTAATTTTTGTTGATGAAGAGGAATATGAAAGTTGTCACAAACTATCATTTGAACAAGGTTGAAAGTTTAAAGAAGCATGATGTGTTGCGTGCTTCTAGTAGTGCATCTCCTACCTTGTTATTAGGATTGTGATCCAAAAATGTTTGAGATTATTGATGAAATTGTTGATATTGTGTTATCAGGGGAGGTATTTCAAATGTTGCTTGTGATGAAAATGTGGGGGGTGGGGAGATTGGTGCAAGGGAGGAAAATGTTCCTCATGATGAAAATATGGGGGATATTAGTGCAAGGGACAATGTTCCTCATGATTTGTGAATGATATTGTTCAAAATGTGGTGGAAAAGATTAACCTGGAGTGAGATCAAAGTTCTTTCTCATCTATTATCATGAATGCTTTGGGTAATGGTTGGGCAAAAATATATGTTGCATGTGGGCCATGTAATATGGATATTGAGTTTGTTGGACATGTGATGAAAAGCAATAAGAAGTTTCTATGAAAATTACCAAAGTTGTATCAGGAGATTGCTGATTATTGCTTTCTAGATGACATTCAAGTGCTGAATAAGTAAGTTATAAAAATTTTAGTTAAAGTTGTTATTTTTGTTTAAGTTACATTTTTTTGCTTAAAGTTATTGTTCTTTGTCTTTAATTTGTAACTGGTTTTTGTTAATTTATGGAGTGTTTGGTGTGGTTTGATCTTACTCATAATGTTCAAAGAGAAGATATGATGTCTTTAGCTGCTAATTTGGAGATTTTCCAATCTGTTATTGAGTGTTGGGCAATGTTGCTGAATGAGAATGAAAGAATGCGCGATGGAGGTCCTAAAAAATTTTGTTTTGGTATTGAACACAATGTGAGTTTTTATTACAAGCTCTATGTATTTTTATTTTAAGAGATGTTTGTATATTTTATTTTATTTCTTTTTGTCTTATTATTATTTAGGCTAACTTGGTAAAGCTTTGGGATGATGAAAATGATCTTGAGGTTATGGATGAACTTCAAGATTGTTGGAAGGAATGGGTTCAAGTTACAAATAACAGTTTTGATATCTGTGCTGTTGATTTGGTAATAATTATTTCTAATGTTGTGTATTTTAATTCACATGTGTTATTATTAGGAAAATTTGACTTTTGCTACCACCAAAAGACCAGCATTTCACTTTTGCTACCGCTTTAAATTTTTATTTTATTTTACTACCAGCGAAAATCACATTTGTAAAAATTTGGTACCAGTTGACGGAAGTCGTTAATTTTGCCGTTTGTGGGCCCCACGTAGTTAACTAACCTCTTCTCTCTCCTCGAATCTAATCCTCTTCCAACACTTACTCTTCCTCTTCCTTGTCTCTCCATTGAATACTCTCAACCCCCGAATTTATGTCCATTGAAGGCTGATTGAAGCTTTATCTCCACTATCACCATCTCCATCTCTCTCCTCTGTCACCATCTTCATCTCTCTTTATCTCTACTTTTCTGCAAATTGAAGCTTGTAATTGTGCGCGTGGAAGGTCTTAACTGGGACAACGAAGCAGGGGAAGACAAACAGCTGCGAGGAAGCGTCATCTCCATTGTTGGAAGCTGAAGTTTCGCCTGACAACGACGTATTGGAAGGTACGAAACCCTATCTATTTATAGTGGTCCAACAATGGTGGTAATTTCGCAATAATTCATTCTAGTTGGGGTATTTTTGGGAGAATCTGCAGTAAACCCTAGATTAGTGAGCTTTGATTATTTTAAGCAATGTTGTTTGACTAATTAAAAATTGATGCTTGCATAGTCATGTGGTAGGGTATGGGTGTATGAAATTGCCTTTTTTTTGTAGCAATTGAATTGATTTAGTTACTATTAGGAATAAAATAGTGTTTGATTTGTTTGTTTATTGCTATTTAATTGTAGATAAAACAAATGGCTGATGGTGATGATAATGTTGATATTAAGCTAAGAATATTTGGGGGTTTTGTGAATAAGAGCCGTAGGGGAGTCCAGTACCAAGTGTATGAAGCTAGGTTCACTTATTGGAAAAGGAATGTATCTCTGACTTACTTGACAGTTGGATATTTAAGATATTTATGTACTGAAGGGATTAGGGACATGGGATGGGATGTACCTAACACATATGTTCTCTAGTACAAAGAAAAGGGTAAGAGTTGGATGACTGGTAAAAGGAAGATAGAAACTGATGAGGATGTACAAGGGTTATTAGAAGCCAAGCACAGGGATGGGCATTTGGAGGTGTTTTGTACAGTTTCTGATGACCCCACCCCTAGTGAGAACCCCCAGAGCACTGTAGTTGAAGATAATAACCCCACCTCAATCCCACAATAGTCCAACCTTAATGAAAGTGCATCCAACTAGACTGCCCATGTGTCTGCCCATACTGTTACTGGATCTAGCCTTAACCAAACACAACCATCCCAAACACAACAATGCTCTACCCCACCTCAAACCCAAAACAAAACACATAAACCTACTGACCTTGTCTTGAGAAGGAGCCCTAGACCGTCTAAAGTACTTAAAACAGAAGCTGGTGTGAGCAAAGTGAGGAGAAGCCCTGGGTTTTCTAGATCTGTTGATAAGGGGAAGGGTAAGGTTACAGAAAAAGTTGGTGATGGTTGTGTAAGGCTGCATAAGGGTAGTGGGCAGGGAAGTGGGAAAAGAAAAGCAAAGAGGGCTCTTAAATTGGGTGATAAGAAGAAATCAGGGTCTAGGTCATTAGGGTCTGGGTCATCAGGGTTTGGGTCATTAGGGTCTAGGTCATTAGGGTTTAGGTCATCAGGGTCTGGGTCATTAGGGTCTGGGTCATTAGGCTCAGAATCAAGTGATCTAGACATTGATTGGGAGCCTGGGGAAGAAGAGGCAGGAAGTGAGGATGATGAATGGCATAGGTAAACTGGTGAAGGCATCTTAACTGAAGTTCATAGAAGCTTGGAGATTGTAAGGCATGAGGCTGTAAATTCAGAGGGTGTAGGTGTGGAAGGGAAGGAGGAACTGAAACAACTGACTAAGGGCATTGGTTGGAAGGAAGTAGATGTGCATGATGAGAGTTCTGAATCAGATGAGCTTAGAAGTTTGCATGGGTCAGATGAGAAAGAAGATGATAGTCCTTGGTTTCATGAAGAAACTGATTTCAAAAAACCAGTTGTATTAGTGAAGAATTTGCAGTTCTGCAACAGCACCATTCTAAGGAAAGCCTTGAGGACACATGCAATAGAGAACAGATATGAGTATTACTATCTGCACAATGGTGGTAATAGGATAACCACATTCTGTAAGAGAAGGTGTAGATGTCAGTGGGGTTCCAAAAGAAGCAAAGTGACAGAGAACTGCATGTGTAGTGCTAGGGTTAAAAAGTGCAAGTTTAAGGTGGCTGTTAGAAGAATGTACAAGAGTCATGCTTGGCAAATAATAGATTTTAGGCCAAAGCATATGTGTATGAGGAGTAAAATGAATTCAATGGTGAATGCTGAGTATCTTGCTGAGAAGTATGTTGAGGAATGGAGGCACAACCCAAGTTGGGATATAAAAAGTTTTAGAGCCACGGTGTTGAGTAACTTGGGCATAACAGTAGGGTATTCCAAAGCTTGGCTTGCTAGAGCTAGGGCAAAGCTGATGATTTATGGGTCAGCTACAAAGCAATATGCCAGGATTTAGGATTATGGCAAAGCTGTGATTAAGTACAGTCTAGGGTCTGGGGTTTGCATAGTTGTAGAAGGATGTGAAGGCAGTCCTGAACCACCTCTGTTTATGAGGATGTATGTCTGTCTACAACCACTGAGGAGTGGTTTCATCAAAGGGTGCAGGCCCCTCATTGGTGTTGATGGGTGTCATCTTAAAGGAGCATACCAGGACAAATGCTTGTGGCTGTTGGCAAAGATGGAAACAATAACATATATCCACTTGCCTGAGCTACAGTTGAAGTGGAGAATAAGGACATATGGTGCTAGTTCTTGGAGTGTTTGAAAAAGGACCTTGGTGATGTGTGTTAAGGTGGAGGTTGGACATTCATGTCTGACAGACAAAAGGTGAGCTTATATGCCCTAATTAGACTATTTATAGTAACTAATATGATATGACTAGTTATGCACTAATGTGATGATTGTTAATACAAGGTCTCCTTGAAGCCCTTGAATTGCAAGTCCAATTTGCTGAGAAGAGGTTCTGTGTCAGGAATATCTGGGTCAACTTCAAGCTTCAATTCAGTGGATCAACCTTCAAAGAGCTCTTCTGGAATGCTGCTAGGGCTACAACATTGGTGAGTCACTGAACTTAAGTTGTATGTAGGAAATACTTGATTGCTTAAATTGAGTTGAATGCCAATGTGCTTAAACTGAGTTGGATGTTAGCTTGCTAAATCTTTGATGTTAACCTTGGGGACTCTGTTGAATGTCAATCTTGTCACCTGAGTTCAATGTGATTTGATTCATTTTGCTACTTTTGGCTGAATTTGGGCACATATGTCAGTTTTGGTACAGGAAACATTGATTTTGTTCTTCTGTTTTTGTATGATGTGGTAGGCTGACTTTGAGGTGGCAATGGAATCCATAAAATTCCTATCTGAAGATGCATATGTGTATCTAGATAACATTCCTGCTAAGCACTGGTCTAGGCATGCATTTTCTTCTGATTGCAAATCTAATATGCTATTGAACAATGTCTGTGAGACATTCAATGCTGTTATAAGAGATGCAAGGGACAAGCCAATACTCACTCAAATGGAGTGGATGAGAAGGTATATGATGAAGAGGCATAATGAGAAATGGGAGGTTGCCAACAAAATGGATGGGAAGGTGGTGCCCTATGTGACTAAGCTTTTTGAGAGGGTTGAGAGGGCTGCAAGGCACTACATAGTGCAGGTTTCAAGAGGAGACTCTTATGAGGTTGAGCTCAATGGGGATAGAGTGCTAGTTGACATAGGTAACATGACTTGCACATGTTACCATTGGCAGTTAACTGGTATTTCATGTGTACATGGGTTTGCATGCATATTGGACAAGAGGGTGGACCTAGAAGACTTTGTGGATGTGTATTACACAAGGCAGAAATATCTGTATGCATATGAGGAACCTGTGAAGCCTATGCCTGGACCCAAGCATTAGGAGAAGCAGCATCTTAGAGAGCCCCTGCCTCCAGCAGTAAGAGTTATGCCAGGGAGGCTAAAGTCAAAGAAAAGAAAGCTGCAGAGAGGAGAGGGAGCACCTGAGTGCAGTGGCAAACAACCACAACCACAGAAAAGACAGAAGAGGTGTGGCAATTGTGGACAGCATGGTCATTATGCCCAGACCTGTATCAATCCACCAGTGCAAGCTCAAGAGGCCAAGAAAGCATGCAAACCTATTTTGTAAAATGCTTGGATGAAGGAACAAAGGAGGAGGAAGGAGGCAAGGGCTGCTAGGAAGGTGTGTAAATTTTCCTGCCCAAACTGTTACATTTGAATGATTTTTCTTCTTCTTATTCTATTTTTTTAACATACAGTCTGGTGGAACTCCTGGTCCAAGGAGCATAGCTAACAAGACATTCCCTCAGGAGAGACCACCACAACAACCTGTGGCCTGCACCCAAGCATCCCAGGCATCAACAACAGCAGCAGAAGCAACACAGCCAACAACAAAGTAAGAGAGAAGGAAAAGGAAGAAGAAGAATTAGGTTGTACTAGTTTTTTTAGTACCTAGACTTTTATCCATCTGTTTAACCCCTACAACTATGCTACTAGTGTTATTAGGTGAACTTTGATTTCTAACTGTCTGTAACAACTAAGTATCAGGAATAACTCTTCTTACATGTTTTCTATGCACTTTGGTGAACTTATATGTTAATTGGCATTGCAAGTTTCCTGTACCAACTTACTTTACATGCACTGCAAATATTAGCTTGTGCAATGAAAATTTCTCATTTATTTGCCAACACAATCAAACTTGCACAATTTTATTCAAAGTACTTCAGATTGCTACATTTGCAATTTGTACTCCTAAAACTACTTCATCTAAGTACAGAAGCAATAAGAGTACCCTAATCTCATTTCATAACAATTAAAACACCAACAATCACAAATACACAACACATTATACTTGCTAACACACAAGTCATTCCACCAACACTACTTTGCTGCCTTTCCTTGTTGTATTTCTTCATCTCAAAACTTAGAGCTTTGCACTTCACTAGCAGGTTGTCATTCTCAGTTAGCAAACACCTTCTTTGCCCACTTAAATCTTCAACTTCTCTCTGCAATGAGTTGATTTCCCCCTTCATCAATTTTTTGTCTAGTAGCAGTTGATTGATGACATCCCTTTGCCAGTCACTGCCTTCTTCCTCATCCACCCACTCAAAGCACTTGCAACCCCTACTTTCTGTTTTAGGATCATAGAATTTGCAGGCTTGAACTTCCTTCTAGGGTTCTCTCTTGTCCATGATGTCAACCTAGCCATAGGAATCCCACAGTCACACTTCCTCTGTTTGGAGGGAGAAGACATAATCAACGACATTATGGCCTGCAATTCAACTAGATTTATCAACAATTACATTGATACAATCATTATTTAACAGACATCACCATCAATTTCGTCCACGCATATCCCAATTGAAATTAGGTCCCAACCGAAAACCCCTAATTTCAATTGGGATATGAACCCTAATTCGATTGAATGAAATTAACTACCAATAAAACCCAATTGAAAATCAAAATTGTATTCTGTATCATTCCTAAACACTCGCAAATACAATTAACCAGCAATAATTTGAACGTAAAGAGAAATTTTATCTCCTAATTGGTGTCGCATAAAGTGCTCACCTTAATAGCCTTAATTCCGAACGCAATTTCACCTTCTGAGCTAAATCGCTTCGCAATTGATCGAATTTGTCAAATTATCCAACAAAATTGATTGATTTTTAATACATGCGTTTTCTGTAAACAGCTTTGGAGGAGATGGTTAGCACAGCAGTTACTTATATACACGAAACTGACAAAAGTACTGTTGAAGTGGGGCCCACAAACGGCAAAATTAACGGCTTTCGTCAACTAGTACCAAATTTTAACAAAAGTGATTTTCGCTGGTAGTAAAATAAAATAAAAATTTAAAGCGGTAGCAAAAGTGAAATGCTGATCTTTTGGTGGTAGTAAAAGTCAAATTTTCCTTATTATTATTATTTTTATTTCTAATTCTGTGTATTTTAATTTACAAATCATAGGTCTTTGTTCCTATTTACGGGTATCACCACTTCTGGGTTTTTGCGTTGAATGTGAAGAATAAAACCATGCAATTAATGGACAATTTGGTTTATGAAGAAGCTACTTTGGAAACAATTAAGCATTTGTCTGGAATATTGGTAATTGTTTAAACTTTTGTTAAATTTATACTTATTTTCTTTAAAAGTTACACTTATTTTGGTTAAAGTTACACTTATTTTGGTAATAATTATTTTATAATTTGTTCTTCCTTTTGTAGTGTGATCAGTTGAGCACATTTTTCAAGAATCTTGATCATCCTAATGCTAATGAAGTTGGAGGATATGAAATGAAGGAGGTGATGTTTAGTTGGAAGAATGCTAAAGAATATGATCTTGATTGTGGAATATATGCTATGATGTGTATGTTGTTGTTTGAAGGTGATGTTTTTAGTTGTGATGCTTTGATGCGAGGTAGTTGCAATTTTTTCTAGTTTCTTCTTTTTTTTTTTTTTTTTTTTTTTTTTTTTTTTTTTTTACATTATACTAATATATGTATACAACCAAGTTCAAGACTTGTACTTCGAGCAGAGATATGTGCAACACTAGTATTGTCTGATATGAATGATGGCATAAAATTTGTGTTGAATTCATTATGCAATTTTAATCCATGTCGTTTGGAGCTGGCACCTGAAGTTGCTAAAAGGAGAAAGCTGATGATGCAACAAAAAAGAAAAGAGGAAAATGCCGCAAAGAAATTGAATAAAGAAATGAAAAAAAAAGATGCCAATAAGAAAGAAAAATCTATCAAGGGGAAGTAAATGTTGTATTAGCAACAGTAGGATTTGTTTTAAATGGTGATTTTTTGAAGGAAGCTAATGTGGTTATTATGTAGCTAGAAGTGAAATCATGCTTTTATAAATATATACTGATGGTTATGTCTAATTTCTAAGTAGAAGTCATGGTTAATACTATGCTTTTGTAAGTACATAGTTAATATTTTGCCTATGATATGGATGGATATTATTAATGTATAGAAGTTATGGTAGTTCCGTTAAAGTTATTGTAATTACATTAAAAGTTGTGGCTAATTTCCTAAAAGTTTTAGAGGTTATTTTTAAAAAGAGGAAGGAATCAAAGTTATTAATGTGTTAATATAATAGTTATGGTTATTTCTTTAAAAGTTATGGCTAATGCCATTAAAGTTATGGCTAATGCAGTCTTCATAATGCCATTAAAGTTGTGGATACTATTTTTTAAATAATAAGTTAGAATCAAAATTATTATAATAGTTATGGTAATTTCATTAAAAGTTATGGCTAATGCCAATTAAATTTATGGTAATTCTACTAAAAGTTATTGTTTTTTTAGTAAAAGTTATCATTACTAATACAGTAAAAAAAGATAATAAATTGTATATAAAAGTTCAAGAATAATGAAATGAACATAGTTTAAAATTGAAGAATGAACAATGTATCTAAGCATTTTTTTTCCAATCAAAATAGTCTCAAATTAGGAGTTATAGCTCCAAACTCAAGTGATGGGACTGCAATCTTCTTTCTTTTCTTCTCCAGTGGTCCTCGTGCCCTTTTGTTCCTTCTTTTTGTTGTTGTACGTTCAGAATCTAATATAAGAGGTGCCTCAGTTATTGTACTTGATGATGTAGCTTGGTTAGTCTCTGTAGTATTTGATGATGTAGCTTGATTAGTCTCTACTTCAGTAGCTTGGTTAGTCTCTGCTTCAGTAGCTTGGTTAGTCTCTACTTCGGTAGCTTGGTTAGTCTTTGTTTCAGTAGCTTGGTTAGTCTCTGCCTCAGTAGTGTCGTTGATAGTTGTTACAGCAAGTAGTTCTTCAACAAGAGAAAGGTTAGCAGCATAACTATCCTCAATAAGGGTTCTCGCCTCTTCATTTAATTGACTTTTCAATACTAGATTATAGAATTTTCTAGCCATGGTTTGACGCCAAGGTGTGTATTGATGTTGTTCAGATTCTTGATTGTCACGTCTTTCCCAAACTAATGACTTTGCAAACTTTTTCCATCTCTGCTTTATATACTGATTTGGTACTCTCATCACTGAATGTAAGTGTAATATTTTGATGTAGTGGTAGCATAACTTGTTTGGTGTCAGATTCATAAGTGACTTGTTGTTGCGACCAAGGTTCACTTTCAATTGCCTCTAAATAGAACAAGGTATTACCATTTTGCTAAAGCAATTTTGTGGTAGTTGCAATGGAAAACCCAAATTCCTCTTCAAAATCTATGAATAAAGACAGAGTGTAGATTTCTGATGCATGTTCAAGTGCATCTAACATGGTATTATTGATGATGCACTTGATTTACTACACGAGAACTCATCATGTCTTTCAGTGCTTCTCCATCGCTGCAAGCTTTGAAAATGCTACAGAATTTAGTCAAACTTGTTGATCTATTTGCTCTAAATCCAATTTCATGATTGGTACTTTCACTTCATTGAGAAGAGAGGATACCAGCCAAGAAGAAGTCTTTTCTTAGAGCTGGACTCCACTTTTCTTTTAGAGCATAAATTCTATTGAACCAACTATGTTCTTGTAATTCATATTTCTCAATCATTGAGTTCCATTCAGTTTCAAACTCAACTTCAATTACACATCGTTTCAAACAGTAGGAGAATGTTCTCTTAAAATTCTTGTCTCGTTCCAATGATCCAAATCTTGTAATAGCATTTTGTTCCAAATGCCATATACATAATCTATGTCTGACCTCTGGAAAGACCTGCATTATCATCAAATATATTTTCAAAAAAAAAAAAAGGTAACTACACAATACAAAAAAGGGAACTTTAACACTTTTATGTATAACTTTAAATGTTACCTTCTATATTGCAGAGCGCATTGCTTGATCTTGGTCAGTGAAGATTGAGATTAGGCATTTTCCTCCCATTGACGTTTTGAATGTCTCAAGAAGCCATACAAATGATTCAATTTTCTCATCTCCAATAAAAGCACACCCAAACATGCAATTTTTCCAATGGTATTAATTCCAACAATAGGAGCACATATCAAATTGTATCTATTTGTCCTATATATAGTGTCAAACACTACAGCATCTCCATAAATGCTGTAATCTTCTCTCATCATCGAGTCTCTCCAAAATAGTGTTCTCAACTTGCCTTCTTTATTTAATCTAAATTAAATCTAAAGAAAAAATTTAAGATCATTAGCAAGTTCCTAGTACATTATTTCAGAGACTGCTTGTGCTTCACCACCTTCAATATTTCATTTTCAACCTTGTCCAATAAATCAGATGGTCTTTCTTTGTGTGTCCCAAGTTTTCTTCACCTCCAACTTCATTGCACATAACTCGATATGAGTCCATAGCTGAAAAGTCTTGACTTTTGCAAGTTTTCTATTACTTGGCCTTTTTCTTCTGTCAACTCTCTTTCAGATCGGTGAAGATAGTGCCATTGTTTTCTTGTGAGTTCATGATTATGGACCAATACATGTTGTACTATTTCAAACAATCCATCCTCATTCATCTTGACTCTTATACAAGCTTTACAATCCGTTCTTGTGGTAGGAACTTGCCTTGGTTTCCGTTTCTGCATTCTCAACAATTATTTCTATTTGTTTCTTTTTTTTTTTCACCAATGTTTGTTTTACCCCTTGTACAGAACAAACATAGTATTTCTCCACAACTAAATTTTTAGTTCTATCCTTAGTCCTACCTGTATGTTTCTTCATTGAAAATCCTACAATTGATGCATGCTCTTCGTAAATCTCATGCATTTCTTCTAAGGTTTTTGTTGTGATGTCTAATAGTGTCCTCTTAACATCAATATTGGTCTCAGTGACTGCAATTCAAACAATATAGTATATTTAAGTTTTACCAAAAAAGTGTAACTATTATTCAGGAATACAATAACTTTTAAGCCATATCAGGTAACTTTGCAGTATTTCATTAAACTAGTTGTGGGAGCGGCCGCAACGCGGGCGCCCCTCCAATTTTGAGGAATTAAACTCAATGTATTAAATGTGTAATTGTTGATCATTAGAGCGATATTTAGTGTAAAATATACTATATTACGAATGAGGCTAGGTGATAAGCTTTTAAATTTGAAAAAAAAAGAACAATAATACTAATAATAAAATGGCTAAAAAGAAAGTAGATGAATAACTTAAATGTATCTCGATTTCCAAAATTGAGACTATTAATGGTGTACTCCATATACTATTTCAAAATAAAAGACATTTACTATTTGAAATATATAATTACATAAGCTAATGATCTAATTAAGTGACTGAGGTAATTTTTATGACACTTCCTTCGTCCCTATATATAGTTTTCGTTTGGATAATAACACATGAATTAAGAATGGAAGGAGGAAGTACTAAAAGTATAAGGGAAACCAAATTGGTAATCATTTGCAAAAAAAAAAGAGAGAGAGAAAATGTGTTTTTTTGAAGTAGCCATCTCTCCCTCTCTCCTTCTTATCTTACGTTTTTACAAGATTTACAAAGTTAATACTTACTTGCCCCCCACCTCTCACCCACTCTCATCTCCCTTTCCATCTACTTAAAAATATTAACAGCTGACTTATATAGTTTTCCAAATTTTAAAATCTTTTTCGAAAATTACTTTTTATCTCTTTTTAATTACATTTTAAAAACGGTATTCTAAAAACTTCTTCATTACTTTCTTCTTCTTTAAAGTCTCTCACCATTTTTTTCTTCATTTTCACATTCCTAATTTATTTCCATTTTTAAAGAATGTACAAAGTTGGTCCTTACTTATCTTTTATGATTTTGAGCATTTTAGAAAGTTACTAAAACATACTTTTTACCTCCTTTCTCTTCCTCTTCCCTATAACACCTTTGCATAATGCGAATATTTTATTATATATAAAAGTTAGCCCTTACTTGCTCTTGTTTTCATACCCTCGATCCACATTATCTTTCTCCTACTTCCTTGACTTCCTTCTCCCGTAACTTCTCACACTCAAATGGATCACATGTTTATAGATAATTAATTCCTACCATACATTGGGTACATATAAGTCAATAGGTTTTCAAGTAGGAGAAAGATATATTTCAAATAAAATGATTTATAAGTAGTATAAGAATAAAAAAAAAAAACAGTATGAAAAATTATTATGGGAGAATAAGCACACACAACCAAACTCTAATGAAGTTCAAATTAATGAAAATTCTACATTTCGAAATCAACTTTTGAACAAATTATCCTGAAAGTTTCCCTTTATTTCCCCTTGTTACTTTCTTGATTACACATATAGCATGAAAGTGACTGTACAAATTACAAACTAAGATTTTAAGATATTAAGGATCCAACTCCCCTGCCCCCCCCCCCCCCCCCTCCCCAAAAAAAAAAAAACAAATTTACTTTTGATGAAGATAATTGGCAAGCTGTATAGAATACATAGTTTTTAGTCAGTTGAAGGAAATCAAACAGAAAAGAAAACTTATTACAAAAACTTTTGATGAACAGAAAAGAACCAGTTCAAATAATATGTCTGCTACTTTCTGATCACAGTTTATAGATAAGCAAATTATACCAGTTCAAATAACCATGTCAAGATGAGGCACTGGTGCTACACAATAGAAACAAACATTCAGAAAAGGTTATGAATCACAAACTATAAAATATTGGAAAATATTATTAACTTAATAAGATGATAATGTTAAACTTTTAAGAAGAAAATTGATTGGTATTACACCTTGGGGAGTAAGGAGATTAGCCACGGAGTAAATGCCGCAGGAATCCAAAAAGTGAACAATGTTAGCAATGAAAAAGAGTTACACCTTCCTCACACCTTTATCAATTACTGCAAAGAGTGGCAAAGTCGTAAATTAAATTGCAAGAGAAATACTCTTGCTAAAATGAATGTTCTCTAGACACATACAAGTAAGCTTTAATCACACTTGCAAGGAAATAATTAGTACGGTAACATTTTCTGGCAAGATTTATTTCCTTCCCATTAATGCTTTAATTTTTTAAACATAACATGAACTGCAATGCTGCTAGTATCAGACTTTCGGGAACGTATCACGAAATTTTACGAGAGGGATAAGGCATTACCTTAAAGCTCAAGCTTATTTTAGGTACAAACTCTCCTAATGTTCTCCAGCACCGACAAACTGAGAAACACAATTGGGTATCGATGATAAAAACTCAACCTTTACTCCCAAAATTTACAAATTTCCTAATTAAGAAAGCAAATCCTAAGATGAGTTCAAAATATTCTATAATAATGTACTTTACTTAAGACTATTTTGTCAATTTCATATTCCTTTTGTCCATTGGACAAAACCCCTCATTAAAACAGCTCATTTATGAGTTTTTCATCGGTATTAAGAGGCACCATCAAATTAAACTAAAATATACTTATAATGTCCTCAATTTTCCAAAATGAATGAATTTACTCAACAGAGATTTGACTTTATTAGTCTGCAAATGCCCAATAAAATGCCATTCTATATCCTCCAACAGCTACAAAACTCACAATTATTTGACAACACAATGTTCAAATTAATATAAATAAATAAATAAAAAACCAAATTAATTGCTCAAATAGAGAAAGTTCATAAGTCGCTTCAATGGAGAACTCAAAAAAACATCCAATACCAATACTGTCTAACCTTCAAGAAAATTTAAAGAATCAACACAACTAAAATCGAAAGAAAAATCAGCTTTCAAAAAATTATTTTTGACGAGTTGAATAAAAGCACGGTAAATTTTCCATTATCTTTGCATTATCAAGTTCAATATAATCATGTAAGGCTATGTTTGCATTGATTTTAAGCAAAAAAGAGGGTTCAACTGAAGGTATCCACTTTATAATTATGCTCAATATTATACCACATGACTATGTATATCAAAACCCATTGAAGTTCAATATAATCATGTAAGGCTACTCGTAATTACAGAATGGTGCGGTGGTACAATATTTGGTGCATTGGGCAGGTTTTGCTGAAACTGATGCAACTTGGGAACCAGCTATACAGTTTGAAGAAAGGTTTCGAGGGTTTGTTCAGAATTAATGAACTTTTAAGAAGGGGAGTTCAGTTTCTTTAAGGGGGAAGGAATGTAACAGAATATTGATTCTGTTATACTTTTTGTAACAGAATTCAGTTACAAAATGAATTAGTTATTACTGTAGTTGTAAATACACATACATGTAATAATTCGAAATCAGATATTGGAATAATAACTCATTTCCCTCCTCTCTACTTCTCGCTCTCTCTCTCTATCATTTCTACTCTTTTTTCTAATCAAATACAGTAGCTCGATTGAACTTACTGCACCATTCTCCTGCTCCTTATTCCTCTTTCCCTATCACTTTTCTTCTATGATTTTGTTAGTTTTAGTAAGCCTAGTCCTTCTTGCTCCGCCCTCCCTCTCCCTCTCCCTCTCCCTCCTTTATGATCTCTCCTTCCTTAATTGCCAAATCCTTATTTTTTTCCTTTATCCCTCTCTCTCCTTGGCCGTGTCTCCCTACTCACTATTTTTTATGCCTTTCAAGATTATAGGCTGCACTTACTCCCCTTTAACTAATCTCATCCTAGCCTCTACTACCCCAAGCTTTTTCTCTCACTTCATTCTCTCTCTCCTAATTAATCTTCTACTTGCTCCCTGTTTTATATTCTAGGTTGTACTTGCCCCTTTCTTCCCTAACTCAATCTCTATCTCACTCCTCCCTCTCTTTCCTTAATCAATTAACCAAAATCCATCTCCTATTACCGCTCTCACTATTACCGTTATTACCTCTCACTCAATCAATCTCCTCACTTCACTACCGCTCTCACTCTTTATTTTTAACCCTAAACCTATATACTATTTAGTCTTGTCTTTCTTGCGTACTATTCTCCTTTATCATCTCTCACTCTTAGGTCACCGTTCCATAAATTTCAAAACATATCTTTTAAGAGTTTTCTATTTTGTTCCTCAATATAACATTAAAAAAAAATATATGGGTTCTACCTGGTTTTCCCTCTTCGCTAACTTCTCTCTCCTCTTCAAAACTTATGGATGTTTTAAACAAAAAAATCTAAATTTTGAACATTCTCCTCTTCGTTTGGACACTTAAACCTCATCTTAATTGTCCCCCTCCATATACCCCCATTAAGCAATCTATGAGCTACTATGTACAATTACTTAGCTAAAGGATTTTCTCAACTATAATCTATCAATCTTTATTAAAACAACAATCAAATGAAGAATGCAAAGCAATATTTTTAAATAGTTTTATTAACCAATTGGTAAAAAACACCACATCAACCAATTGGTAAAAAAACTCAATTGTGATTAAACAAACCATCAAAACTTTAAATTAATCACTACAATTATGCTAAAATAGCTTGAAGTAACAGGAAAATGCACACTAAATTGTTTGATCCCTTGTTTGAGATTTTTTTCTTTTTTGTATCTCCAAGAACAACTCTTTCTTCTGATACTAACTTTAGATTTTGACTTCATTTAAATACTTTATCAAGCATGGTCACCGTATCTAGCTACAAAGCAAGGAATTCTTTCTCAAGATCAAAGTACCTTGAATTCAACTCTTCTAGAAGATGTTTATTTTGATCAAGATTCTTTTCAAAACTTATGCATTTCTTTTTGAGACTTATGCATTTGTCTCTGAGCGTGTTGAGTTCATTGCTCAATTTCTCCTTCCAACAAGCAAGCTCTTAGCCAAAGTCAGCACCTTTTACCAAAGAAAAAGGAAATGAAACTAATTTAAAGATTCTCCTAGTAGTTATGAATAAAATAAGGAACCATACTTTCTACAGTTCGACACACTGTTATTCCCACCAACAACCTATTATCAACATCATGTAGCTCCACGGGTTGGTTCAATCATGCACTAAATGGCCTTAAACTGTACCCAAAAAAAAAAACATCTTACCTCAAAAGCCGCTTCAGCAGAGGAAAGAAAGTTAATAAGTAGATTCAATTTTCATTTAAATCCTTAGAATCAAACAAATAAGCAAATTTCAATTTTCACTAAGATCCTTAGAATCAAACAAAAGACCCTTCTCAGGCAGACAATTTTCACTTTTCACTGCCATTGACTTCTAACTTCAAAATATTTGGATTTATAAATTACAGGCTTTTACTTTTATTCTTTGATTTTAATCTAGCTATTTTTATTTTATTTACAATTTTACATATCTTCATTTTACAATTCTCTTGACCAATCATATTAGCAACACACTGTAAAAAGGAATCCTCCAAACAACATTTGCATTAGAGTAACTAATTATTTTCTTCTCAGAAGTTGAGTGACCATAAATGGCAATTATACGTTCATTGCTCAAATACAGCCTCACTGCATTACTTCTAATATTCTCAATGAAGCATCTTACCTGAATGGAGAATACCACCTGTATTCTGAACAGAAATAAATTTATCCCAAGATGAAGAATGAGGCGCGAATAAAACCTTAACCAAATAAGCCATCTAAGAAGTTTTTCTACTGACCTAGCACAGCTAGATTTTTCATCCCAGAGCTGCAAAACCCCATAGAAAGTATCTCAAAAGTCAAAGATGTGATTATTTCAGATATAGTAAAATTGCAAACTTGTAATCAAATGACACAAATATTGTAATCAAAGTAAATCGTATAAAGTTAATTTATTTAAGAAAATAAAATCTACTTTGAATTCAAGGTGTTGGCGTTTAACAAACTGCAGAAAAACAATGAATTTTCAAGCTATCATGTCACTGAGAAGTACCTAATATTGAGAAAAATTCAAAGCTTTAATCAATAGTCAGCTTTCCTCAAGTTTGACAGTTAAACTTACTTTTGGTTCATCCACTAATATAGTAAACTGGACATATGGTTTAAAATAAACAGAGTTAACTTAACAAGACCTACTCTAAAAGACAATCTTTGATTAGACTTTTAGGGAGAGAAGGCCAACAATGATTGACAACTACAGCCACCAAAGATGCACCTTGCAGCCTGCACCAATATCGTTTCCCAGATTAAATAAAGTTTTGATAGAGCAAAGAAACAAAGCTCAAGAAAGAGAAAGCAATAAATATCGATAATTCCTCAGCCAAGGTTCAACAGATATATCATCATCACAATAAGTTACTGAACCTAATAGGCATGGTCTTCAGACTCTTCAATCAAGTCTTAAATCAGTTATATCAGTTCCAATCAAGGCTAACAACCTAAAGCAAGATTCCACTTTTAGCTAGCTTTAGACTTAGTCTTTGTTCTTTTCACTTTTACAGGAACACTAAGTACACACAAGGGCTAGTGAAAATCAATTTCACAACTAAATTAAGTTTAAATTGATTATCATTCAGGTGAAAAGAACAAAGCCTTAAATCACACAGCCAGGTAATTACATTCCTCTTGCCTCTAATATAACTATTCGATGATCAGAACTGTAATATTGTTTCCTGACACAGAATGCAGCTCTTAGCAAAGCATACTACTTGCTTGTGCGGCATATACTAGAGGCAATTCCAAATAGCCTGCTCTATCATATAGCAACATATATATCTTCAATTAGCCCCTGAAAACTAAATTATTGTAAATCAAGATGATTCTGCTACAAACAACAATCAATTGTAACACAAATTAAATATGTTTGCCAACCATTAACTGTATTATATATTATAGATGATCCGATTTCTGCCCCCCATATATTAGTAATATAGTACTTTACTGGAAAGCGTTAGAAATGAAGTGTCAATATACACAATTTACCTTCTTTTCCTTGTGTGCACTTCTTTCTAGTTATGTTGAGACTGTGCCAGGTCTCTTTGCCACTTAAGCTCTCCCATTTCCCTCTCCAACTATACATAATAACAAGACTGTAGTCAGTTAATATAATTAGAAAGAAATCTCATTTCCCCTCACTTTCTTGTATATTAAAAGGGTGGGCACTGTGGGGACCAGATGAGATTGTCTGTGCTTCAAACTTTTGCTTAATAAGTAGCAGAACAAATTAAATTAATTTCAAGAGTTTCACACATGCTAAAGGCTGAAATGGTTCTGTTTGAACAACAACAATCCTGGTGTGTAAAGTTTTTAACAAGCTAAGAAAGCATACCATCTTGATTTTCAAATTTTCTCAACCGGCATTGCCTCTAAAGCTGACGAAGACGAAGGTTTTGGACTTTTGCGCGGAAGATAGGCAAGAAAACCAGAATGTATACTTTCCTTGGAGGCTTTGATTTGAATGGAGAACACATTATTGACAACAATAAAGTCAATCAGCAACCTGGATTCCACCAATATAGAGAACTCAAAATCAGTAAAACTTGAACTTTTTTAATTGGACATTCAGATTTGCAAACCTCATGTGGATCTCTCAAGATATTCACAAGGCTTGCAAGCTATAATAACATTGGATCTTCGGATTTAAACAAGAACTAAGGAAATTACACGAAAATTAATTGGATAATACTCTAATTCTCGCAAGAATAGAGGGTCTATTCCTGGTCGCAACTAGAAGGTGATCGCGAGTCACAACAAGTGATGTTTTTTATTAACAATCAAACGAGCAACGCTCAAAGGGATAATTCCCAAAACAAATCTCTCGTCATTATTCGTTATTGATATGCACCCATATTTATAGGGTGAAAAATCGTACAAAGATAAGATAGGAAACTAATAAACATATTCTAATAAGATAGAATATTAAGAATCCTAATCCTAATATATCTTCTAATCATATTTGTAACCAACTACTAAATCTATCCTAACATAAATGAATTAAACAAATAAATATCCTAATAACTAAAACTCTTAAAGCCTAAAAATAGGAAAAATCCTTTCAAGTGAAAGGTAAAAATGCATAGGCAAAAATCCTAATAATTAATAATAACTAAAAGATAGTGTAGGTTTCTAGAAACTCCATGAATTATCAAGAAAACCCATATTGGACTATTGCTCCCGCATCAAAACCCACAAATATCATGAAGAAAATGGAAGGAAAAAAGTATCCTACGGAGTATATGAACATGTAAGAGAAAAAAAATTATATATTACATTATCTCATGGGAAAATGGCTTGGTGATGAGGACCAATTGTATGCTACCCAAACTTCTTACAATATCCCACATTAGCAACTAATGTAAAATCTGAAAGTACACTATTCTCCTCACCTTTTTCCCTCTCTTGCTTCCACAGCTTCTCTCTCCTCATCAATTTTACTGAAATTGCAAAAGCAATAGAATGAATTTCAATCCTCAATTCAAGGTAAAACTAATTTTAGTTAATGGTCAATAAAGTATGAGTAATCGTTTCCCCAAATTTCACTAAAACTCACATAAAAATGAAGACACTCAAATCAGAATTAAACATGGAGAATCAAGAAATCAAAAGGGAACCAGATTCAACTATCCGAGTACAAAACTACAACGACCATTTTTGGATCTAATCTAATTAGAAACTAAATTCAAATTTCTTTTTCCACTCAAAATAGAAATCTAACAGTACCCATAAACATAATTTCAGTCTAATTGAATACATAAACATAAACAAAAGCAATCTCATTTTTTGCGACTCCTATTGCTCCAACTTTGATCATTCTGAAGCAAGCAATTAGGTTAAATATTGAAAAAGAGATGTTAAAAACCAAAAACAGCAAAGTAGTTACTAAGAAATTCCAGCTAGACAAAATTAACTTTATCGGATGAAAGAAATGTCCCCAAGAAAAAGGACCACATAATAGCACAATATCAAGCTAAATATATCTATATATAAATAAAAAATAAAAAGGTCCAAGCCTCAGCCCTTGGGACCTCAGCTCTATAAGCAGCTTAAAATCCTTTACAAAGGCTAAAAATAAGAGAGGTGACAGTAAGCACATAAGACAACTCTAGTTAGCTGTAACTTGCATTCTACTAAGCAATGACAATGTAATGATAGCTACAACAGAGTCCAAATGCATACCACATTTGTAGGATTTTCTGGAATGTACTGGCTGCGGCAGCATTGTCACCTGACTGATCAAGAAGTCTACCCTGCCAGCTTAAGTAAAACAGAACAAATAAGAAATCGAATGCAAGAAAATCGAAAGAGCTTCAATGTCTATGTTAACAATTATTCAACCTAAGAAGAAATATTATGCATGCCAATCATCAGACACGAGTATTTACCACAGAATTCTTTGCAATTCATAGTTTGGTCTCCATTATCCGCCAAGAATTGTTTGCAGGGCGGCAGGAGCACTCTTACTAAAACAATTATGGGAACAGTTTCAAGCATTTCACAAAGCTTATGATAACAATATGAGGAAATTAATTCACTCAAGCACCATGGTCAATAAACAAAATAACAAAGCACAAGAAAAAAGCTTCAGAAATTACCTGCAAGCGAAGCCTGTCAACCTCTAATTTTCCAGATAGCACCTCTAAAGCATCACCATACTTGCCTTGTTGTTCCAGCACAGAAATGTACACAATAAAAGCTGCACGATATGTAAAACATTCAGTACAAAAGAACAGACAAACCACATGATATATCATTTAGACATAGGAAAAGATATCACATACAGACCTTCTGCCTTCTGGTTCATGCAAGCTATGAGATGCAATGTGTTTTTTAAGTAAACCTTAAGTTAATCCTAATAACTTCTGTCCGCCTTTGCCACAGCTAACCTAAATTTAAAACTACACGATTTTGATAACTTCATGTCTAAGTATAAGCAAGATACACTTCATTATAAGTTACTGTGTAACTACATGTCTAAGTATAAGCAAGATACACTTCATTATAAGTTACTACTCAAATTACTTGATTAAACAATCATACAACAATAAAAAATGAAAATATTACGATAACAAATCCAAGAACTTCCCAATATAAACAAATAAATAAATTCAAGAATTCCCTAAGACAAGCAATATTCAATTTGTCAATCATGAAGTATATAACACAAAATTAACCTTTTAATTCATGTCATTCATAATTTCACCAATAACCATAAGAACTAAAAAAAAACTAAACATCAGCTAGAAAAAAATAAATAAATAAAAATTGAAGGAAGGTGGGTGTGCTTCCTGTAAAAATTAGCTACTGTAAAATAATCCCAGACCTAGAAAAAAAAATTGAATCACACACCCATTCAAACAATAACAAAAGTGAAAAGTATATAGAAACGAGGCGTTTGGCAAAAAGGGTAGGGATAACGAGGATAAGAAGGTAGGATAAGAATAGGGAATTGAATAGAGAATTAATAAGTAGGATAAGGATAAAAATTATGTCATCTATTGTTTGGGGTAGTAAAATTACTTGACTATCTTTACTAGCATTTCTCCTCTCTCCTCTTCCTTTCCTTTCATTCAGGGTAAAATTGTCTTTTATTCTTCAATTTTAATCCCCAAACCTTATACTTGTCCTCCTTGTTATAAGAATAGAGGGATAACTCTATTTTTTATCCCTATCCCTTTTATATGGGATAGAACAATTCCCATTAAACAAATATTATGAAATACAAGGGATTATTAATCCCTATTCCACCATTCATCCCTACAAACAAACAGCCTCAAAATGCTCAGTTTGACATCATACCCACAAGTTACTAATCCAAACAGGAAGATAAGGCAAAAATTGAATGAAAAAGGATCAAATTTATCAATAAATCAATGAAAATCAACCAATTACGACAAAATAAATAAGAGAAAGGAAATGGAAAAAATGCTAACCTGGAATTTATTAGTTCAAATTAATTGAACACCAAACCCCGGGAGAAAAAAAAAACACAATTTTAAATTTTATTGTTCAACCAGAACCGTAACAAAATTAAAAGCGGAAAAAAAAAAAAGATAAAAGGAATCACCTTGCTACTCGTAGGCTCGTATCTTAGACCAACAATGGAACAAAGATTTGGCAGCAAATTTAGATTTTGCCATCTACTCAAAGTCTGTAACAAAACCAAGAAAAATCATAATATAAAATAAGTAAAGATGGCGTAAATGCGCTTCCAAATGACGAAGGAGGAGAGCGAAAAAGGTGAGAACTTTTACGGGAGAAGAGAGTGAAGGAATGGAGAATTAGAGATGTGGAGTGGAGTGGAGGAAATCGCGGGGAAAGATGCTAATAGATTAATAGGAAACACGCAGAGGTGGGAGAAAGAGCAGGAAGAGATAGAAAATAGCACAAGGGCAGAAGTGTAATTTCACGCACGAAGGGCATAGACGGAAATTTACTGTAGATAAGCTACAGTAACTTGTTATTATTTTTTAGGGGTTATTATTAGGGACTTGTTATTCATCGCCCACGTTTTTATACATAAAGCCCATATTTTCTAAAAATTTTGACATTCTTGCCCTTCTTTAAATATTTACCAAAAACGAAATTTTCACTCACCAAAAATGTAGAGCAGCACTGGATCGCCGAGGGACACCGAAGAGCCGTCATCGTCGGCTAGATGTACCGGAGAGCCGCCGTCGACGCCGGAAAACGAGGTACGAAGCCGTTTAAAATCACGAAGTGGCGGCTGGCGTCCTACCGGAAGCCACTGCCGTGGGTGGGGCGCCTGGCCAGGACGCCGCAGCCATGGCGGTGAAGCTTGGCAGGGAAGCCAGTGCCATGGTTGTGGCGTCTAGCCAGGACGCCGCCACCGCCACGGTGGCGGCGTTCTGGCCAGGCGCTACTGCCACGTTATAATTGTTTCGGGGTTTTTTCTGTGTCCTGCGGGAGAGTTACAATTCCGAGACTGGCTTGTTGACCGGCTGTGTACCTGCAAAACAACGAAACTCCGGTTGGGTGGAGTTCCGCCTCCGACGATCAAATTAGAATTCGTTCGAAGTGAATAGTGCGGAATTAAATGGTTTTCTCTCTGATTCAGAGAGAATAAATGTTGTTTTTGCTTTTTGTTTTTGTGTTTGGGAATTTGTGAACTTCTGAATACCCAATAAATGAGGTATTTTCCTCTATTTATAGGGTTGGGGAACTGTATCCTCACCAGTAAGGATGTGCCACGTGTCAGCCTGGGATTGGCTCCCACTTGCCCTCTCTGGGACTGACACGTTGCACTCTCTGATTGGGCCACGTGGCTAGGGTATTTTTTACCCTAATCATTTGCCCCTCACAGATGACACGTGGCGTGCCACGTGGCATCTGTGACATGGCATGCCACGCAACATCAATGTGACAGTTATCACAATGCGGGGAAGGGGACGGTTGGTCTCCTTCCCTCCATTTTTATTTTTTATTTTTTTTTTCGGAAGGGGGGGTGACGGTTCGTCATCCTCCCAATTTTTGAATTTTGAATCAGGGAGGCGATTCGCCTTCCCTGATCCCTATATAAGGAGACCTTCCTCCATCATTTGCAACATTTGCAAATTTCCAAAAGATCAAGAGAGCTCTGACACCGGCTGAGAGTAAACACCAATCATTCCTTGTTTTTCACATCCGGCTTTGCATCACTTCCTGACTCAAGACACCCGCAATCTTCCGGCTGAGGTAACTTTCAAACCTCTTTGCATACTTATCCGGTGAGGTTAGCTTGCCATAGATTAGGGTAGCAGCCGGATTTATTTATTTTTGAACAACCGGTGATTCTTGGAAAACTTGTTATATCTGCTCAATAGACCCCCATCCGGTATAAACCGCATGGGGTACTGTTGAGGAATTTCTGGGTTGCTTCTCAAGGCTCTCAAAGGACCCCCATCCGGTTATGACCGGCTGGGGGATCTTTGAATGACCCCATTTTTTCCAAGGCTCCTCAATGTACCCCCAACCGGTTTTAGCCGTCTGGGGGCATTTGGGTAGATAAAGGCCTTTCGTAAGACCCTTTGATAAGCCCTCATCCGGTTTTAACCGTCTGGGGAGCTTTTGGAGGAATTCTAAATTTTCCTAAAAGCTGTCAATAGACCCCCATCCGGTTTTAACCGTCTGGGGTGCTTTTGAGATTGTATTTTTCTCAAAAGCTTTCAATAAATCCCCATCCGGTATAAACCGTATGGGGTGCTTTTGAGTCATTTAATTTTTCTCAAAAGCTTTCAATAAACCCCCATCCGGTATAAACCGTCTGGGGTGCTTTTGAGTCATTTAATTTTTCTCAAAAGCTTTCAATAAACCCCCATCCGGTTTTAACCGTCTGGGGTGTTTTTGGGTAAGTTTGACCAAAAACGTTGACCAGAGCCGGATGGGGTGTTTTTGGGTAAGTTTGACCAAAAACGTTGACCAGAACCGGATGGGGTGTTTTTGGGTAAGTTTGACCAAAAACGTTGACCAGAACCGGATGGGGTGTTTTTGGGTAAGTTTGACCAAAAACGTTAACCAGAACCGGATGGGGTGTTTTTGGGTAAGTTTGACCAAAAACGTTGACCAGAACTCGGATGGGGTGTTTTTGGGTAAGTTTGACCAAAAACGTTTACCAGAACTCGGATGGGGTGTTTTTGGGTGAGTTTCTGAATTCTGATTGCTTGATCATTTATTGCAGGTATTTTGTTGAGACCGTCTGCAGCGCTATCAATCAGCCTTCAACTTTTCAACTTTCAACTCAGTACAAAGGTACCGCCTGTAATCCTTATATTCTCTTGTCAATTTTCCGGCTGACTAGGTAGTTAGAAATGGACTCACCCAACACACACTTGGCACAACCTAGAACTGATGTCAACCAGTCACCAAGTACGGCTGAGTCTAGGACTAGGGATGCCGCCTGGAAGTGTTTGGTCCATCCTTGTGATAAAAATCCGACCATCTCTGCTCATGTGCAGGACAGAATGGCCCGCACAAGATGGACAGCGGTCGATCCTGAATACCAGTCCGAAGGTTCAGCCGGACCTCCGGTTGAAGACATTCCATACGACCGACCGGGTACCCCTAGTACACCCGGGGACCATATATTAGAGGAGCCAGAGAGCTCCGGGGCACAAGGACCTGCCCAGTCATCCGGCTCAGAATCAGCCGGGGTACCGGATGCCCCAATTGAGGACGAAGAGGCCTACAGATGGCCATCAGTAAATAACCCCCAGGAGGCGTCCGTCAGCGCCCGGGACCTGGTCACCCTAAACGCCACCTTCCCGGCATTTTTGGCAAAGCATCCGGTAGGGGACGGATGGGAAGTGATTGTTCCGCCAGCAAACGCAACCGTCGTTTGGGACGACTCGATCCCCCATGCGGACAACTACTTCGGCTGCTACGAGGCAGCATTTAAGGCAGGCCTCCGGTTTCCCTTACACCGGGCCATCCGGGCTATCTTGAGAGGGTATGACTTGGGAGTATAGCAGTTGACACCCAACTCCTGGGTCAACATTCTTGGGTTCATCGCCGCCTGCGAGATGCAGGCGGTTACGCCTAGCTGGGAGGCGTTTGCCCACATGCATTATCTCAGCCGGGCTCCTGGCGGATGGAATGCGTGGTACACTCTCACCACGCATCCGGAGTTCCTAATGACGCTTGACAAGCCGTCAAAATGGAGCAATTGGAAGAGCAAGTTCTACTTGGTCTCGTCTCCCTCTCTTCCGATGAATCGCCGGCTGAGATTCTACAATAAGAATCCGGCACTTCTGGGGAGGAAGTGTGCCTTACCAAGGGTCCCGGCAGACGCCTGGGACCAAATAATGGAGCCGGGTCTTTTTAAGAAGACAACGGTGCCCCTGACTGATGGGACCGAAGCCATTGTACCCAGCCGGTGGGTACCGCATCCGGAATGGCTGAAGGATGACGCCTTCTTGTCCGCCTGCGGCCTAAGTACCATGTTTAGCAGACGTAGGTTTATTTACAACCGGCCTCTTTTTAACCGTCTGTATCACTCCTGCATATTAACTCGTTCTCTTCTTTTTTGTAGAGAAAGGTCTAGACATGGTGCCTCCGGAAAAGACACCGGTTAAACTAGCATGGGAAGTCCGCAAGGATTTCCTGGAGAAAAAGAAGGCCGAGCTGGCGGCCAAAAATGATGGGGTAAGCACCGGCTAAGTATTTCCATTTGCATGCATTTTTAACAAACACCGGATGTGTATCTTTTAAACAAATGCCGGATGTATATCCTTTTAGCAAATGCCGGATGTATATCATTTAAGCAAATGTCGGATGTATATCCTTTTAGCAGTTATAATTTCATCTTTTGTTGGCTCAATACTAACTGTATACTTTATTTTTGCAGTCGGGGAGTCAGACTGTTCCCCGTTCTCTAAGGGCTCTGATGAAGAGGTCGGCTGAGGTCTCAACGCCACTGCCTCCGAAAAACAGACGGGTTGAGACCCCCGCCTTGCCTCCTGCCCAACCCTCAGCCGGGAGGCCAACAACAGGTGGCAAATCCCTGTCTGCCACTCCCGGTTCAAACACCGGGTCTTCTGGCCGGATGGTTGCTGTGGCATCCGGTTCTGGTGCGGCTGGGGGGGTTTCAGCCCCTCCACCTGAAAATCAAGGTATGGACTTCGCCTTTGAACCCCCCTGGCCGCTTGGACCTGCTAGAGTCAAGTCCCAAGCTACCCAGTCCGGGGACTCTCCTACCAGCCGGCAGAACGTAGGAGGCGCTTATGCTCAATACTTAACCCATACGTCTCTTAATGCAGATGTCTCCCGTTGGCCGGATCTTCAAGGATACGCCAAACGGATGGTGAGGACCATTACCCGGTCCGAGAAGGAGGCGGTAACGGGTATAAACCAGGTCAACATTGACAGGATCAATGCCCTGGTTGCTGAGGTAAATACCGGATGGGGTATTTCCTTGCAATTGTTGCTTCTGCCTAAATTGATTATGCAAATTGTCTAACATTTTTGTCGGGTGCATTGCAGGTCCTACTAAGGGTTGATGGACTCCGTACCCCTCTTCGAAAGAAGCAGGACGAGGTAAGGGATGCCCAGAAGAGGGCAGCCGACCTTATTGATGTCCATCAATACAATACACTTATGTTTGACCTTGAGATTAAACGCCGGGAGTTGAAACAGGAGGAGATTGTCACCCAACTAACGGCTGCTGCTGACGCCGCAAACAAAAGAGCTGATGAGGCCACCCTCAAGATAACTGAGCTGGAGACGACCGTTAATGACTTGAAGGAGGCTGCCAGGGAGCGGGATCACCTCAAGGCTGAGGTTGACCGGGTGAAGGAGGAGGCGGCTAGAGCCAAAGCTCAAGCCCAGGCGGAGTTCAGCCAGCAGCTGACGGCTGAGCAGATACGGCTAATCGCTGAGAATGAGCATGACAACGAAGAGCGCTTGAAGATCGCATGGTCGCTGGTCCATCCGGAGCTCGACTTTGCTTATTTTGATCTGAGGTACAAGTATGCGCCTCAGAACTCTTCGATGCTCAAGCTCATGGCTTGGAGAAGCCGGCTCCTTTCGAGGAGTGGGCCGGCTTGGGGGATGATCAGGTAGAAGACCTGAC